GGGTGATTTTGCTTAGGGGGTAGCAACACTCCTGGCATGTGGTTCAATGCAGATAGAGAATATGAGCTCTCTGCTGGGCTCTGACGTGTCTGCTGCCCTGGCTGTTGCTGTTGGTGCTGGTTTGGGATGACAGAAAACACAAGATTTGCTACTTGATCAGACAGCATGCTGAATTGTTTCAACAGCACTTCATTGCAGAATTCAAACTAAGAGTTTGTCACAAAAAATGAGGGAGTAAGGATGGGGATGGTCTGACAACTTGGATCAAACACCACCTGCCAAGATTCCATGATGCTAGCCTGCTCCTGGATTAAACCAAGCAGCACAAGGCTATTGGCTGCCAAATCCACATCAAAATTGACCAACTTGGTCTGTTTTGTCTTGGGGACCAACATGGCTTTTGATACATCCAGCAATGTTTGAACCAGTACTCCAAGGGCTTTGGCTTTGGTGCCAGAGCCTCCTGGGTGCAATCACACAATGCAGGTTTTTTGAGGAATGCCAGTGATATCTTGGGCTTCCTCAAGAGGGCTCAGAGAAGGGCCCTGTTTTAAATGACACTTCCTCAAGCCTTTTAGCAAGGCTGGGGTTCTTGAGACAAGTCCTGTGAGGTCTTGGAGGGTGAGGTTGATTTTTGGGAGTGGTTGAGGATGATTTTTGTGGTTTTGCTGTTTTTTCAGCCAATTGACCTGTTGGGAGTGATGTGACTAACACATCCATTATTTCATCATACATCAACTGGATGTCCCAAGCAGTTTAGTTGTCCTGAGTATCAGGATCAGGGGGGCATTGGCCCATTTGGAAACAGCAAAGATTCAGTGAAATTGGAGAGAAAGGTGAAAAATGAGAGCAGTTCAAGTGGAAAGTTGTCAGGGCAATGAGTTGGACAACAACTTATGCAGTCACAGATGGGATCTGCATATATTCCTTAGTGCGCCCCTGCTAAGTTTAAGGGGCTTCCAGATTTCCCTCAGCCTTCATGAAGCAAAGTTTATTACTTGGTCTCTGACGTACAGCTGCTTCAAGAAATATTGACAACTATTTTTGAAGGATATTGTTGCCACAGCCAAAAAAATGAGACAAAAGTTGATTTTAGATGTTTTATTTTTCCTGTATTCTTCAAAACAACGGAGAAACAAGTCCCGGTTTTTGAACTGTAACAAGATTTTCAGAAAAAAAACGATCTTTATTGGAATAGCTGTACTATTTAGATATAAATATTCTTGATCAATTAGCTTTCAGTTGTGCAATATACCAAACTAGTTATGTATTTCTGGTGATTTCTGTGAAATCAGATTTCTTGGGATCATACAATCGGACATGTAGCATATTTATGGGATCCAAAGTAGAACCCCAGTTTCTTCTTCTACTTTCTGAGTTCCCCAACTTCAGTTCAGAATCTGGGAAAGGCAGAAAAACCTCAAGAGCCCCAGTGAAGATGTGCTTGAAGATTCAAACTTGAGGAAAATTGGGATCAGTCACCCAGATTCCAAGCTTCTCAAACAAAGCCAAAAAGTACAATTTCCTGTCAAAAAGTCCAAGTTGGGAAACTCAGAATTTTTCTAGGTTTCTAGCTTGTATTGCATAAATGGTCCTACTGGCTGTGTCATACTAGCTGAGTATGAATGTGTTATTCACAAGCTCAAAACTCATCAAGCCAAAGCCTTGAACTTTCCAAGTCTCAACAACTCAATCAACATCATCATTGAGTGGCTCATTGAGTACCAGGACATGGCAGTTGATACTGATCAAGTCATAGTCCCCGCAACTATCCTCAACTCTTGCTTTCAAGCAAAGTTCTTTATGGTTCATTACCCCACACACAAGGCTTCTTCCCTTTCAGCAATCAAGACTGCTCTCAATACCCAGTCAGAAGAATCTGAGCTATGCAACACAAGCCCTCCACCTCAGAATCACAATGGCATTGCCAAGACTGATGAATACAACATCCTTGGAGTTGCAAAAGGGACTACAGAGACTTTGGCTAAGTCTGAACTTGATGAATACCTGCAGGGACACTTCTCAATCAAAAGGGATCAAACACCTCTTGGATGGTGAAAGGTTTGTCCAATTATTTGTTTTATGTTGTTTCAATGTGTAACTCTGAAACCAAGCTAACAGTTCCCATACCGCAAGCGCTCCACAACTTATTGTGGTTGTGTGGCGGTTGTGTTGCGTTTTTGAGGACCACAATATATTGCAGGTTCAGCGCACCGCAATCCGAGTCAGAAAACCCCTGGTCTTCAAAAACCACAACAAAATATTGGTTCACTCCGCTATATTGTGGATATAGTGGAGTGATACCTATTTCTTTTCTTTTCAATTGAATCATTTTCAATATCTATCTAAAATACAAGTACAATATTTTAAATCAAAGAAATGACTTGTCTTTCTTTTCTCATTCTTCTCTATTTTTTGTGAAATCTTGCGCAATCTTGCGCCGAAGTTGTGTAGCTGCAGCAAGCAATATTTTGGCAATATTGTGCTTTACTCCACATCACAATGTTGTAAGTTTTTTTTTGAGAAAAATTGTGGTCTGTTTCATTGCGCTTTATTGTGCTGACTCTGCAATGCAATGGAAATGGGTCAAAATCTGTTGTGTTGTGTTGCAGTTGCAGTGTTGACAGTTCTTTATGTTTTCCTTTTTCACCATTTAGAGGGACATGCCACTTCCCCACACTTTCCAAGTTAGCACACAATTACCTGTCCATCTCAGCCACATTATGCACTTGTAAGCGTACACCTTCATCAGCAGCCAATGTGTGTACACCTTTAGAGGTAGTATGCTCACCAAGACAATGGAGTGCCTGGTGGGGTCTCAGGCTTGGATGAAAGAAGGTATTGTACCTGACAGAACTATTGAGGAGGCTGCCAAGGCCCTCAAATGCTATAGCGGTACACAAACATTGTGACCCAACCTAAAGAAAACATGACAACCCAATTTATTTTTGGATTTTTAGGGCTAAAAACCCAAAAATCAATTGGGTTGTCATGGGTTTTTTGGATGGGTTTTTAGGTTGGGTTGAGCTGTTTGTGTGCCACTTACATAGCAGGAGTGGACAAAAGAAAGAAAGACTAGACTCTCATTTTACAAATTTAAAATTATTAAATATTTCACATAGTCTACTCTGTCTATCTAATTTGCATAGTCCATCCAATTTTATAAACAAGAAATGTTTTATAAATGTTTTCTCTTTTGGCCCCTCCCTGATCAAGCGCTATATTTCATATAGCAAATGTGGAGCGGGTTTACTGAACCACTCTAAAATCAAGAAATTGGAAACTTGTTGGGTTGTGGGTGAGAGTGGTCACAGTGCTTGGCTCTCGAAAGATGTCAAAATCAAGAGTGGTAAAGAGTGGTTCCAGTATTGGTCTGAGGTGCAGTAAATACCACCATTCAATAATCACAACATTGAACCTAATCAATGTTTCTACCAATGATTTTTCTATCCTGATTTGACATTGTAGAAGGTTTTTGCTTTTATTCATTAACCTTTTCTATCACACACAATATCCCTTATCACTATCATCATTCATGAGTGTTCCTTCATTGATCTGATTCACTGAACTATTTTTTGTTTTTCGTTTGTTTGTTTGTTTGTTTGTTGTCGGATCATTACGTATTTCAGTTGAACTTCCGTTTCAACGAGAGATGCGTTGCTTGCCGGACTGACTAAAGCCTTCTGGCTGTAGCTCATCTAGCAAAAAACCCATCGCTGGAATGCGCGCGATCTCTTTGTGGTAAACATTCGGAGGTTGTTTATGTCGATGTTCGGAACAGCATGACCGGGAACATCCTTTATGAATTCTTTAGATGAATCTCGATCTTGTCGCTCGGGAGGATTTATTCAAGAAAGTGACTTGGATGGTTCAAGGGAGATGAATTGCCTTGCTGCTCCAGAGTCCGATACAGCAGATTGCGGTATGAAAAACTCATAATGTCTGCATACTCATATCTTCCGTGAAGCTTAGATTGAGCTGGGACATCGTCAGATCTGTCGTCTAGGAGACCGATAGAGATGCAATCCATCAAACTAGTTTCAACACGTTCCAGAGTACAATCTCTAGGCAGAGTTCTATATGGGCATACCTGACTCGAGGCTATCGAGTATCCTGATGCAATTCCGACCTCTTGGTTCTCTCTTCAAGAGACGCTTGTTCAGCAGGGGACCTGCGAGGTCTTCGCCACACGACCTTGTCAGTGCGTACGACTACGACCTTCGCTGTCTGTGAGAACAAGATATAACGTAAAGAGAGTGACACAAGCTGAGAATCACTAAAATGGGATACATACCTTTGATTTCGGTCTGGAGGACATGTTCAAGTATGTTCGAGACATGTTTGGGTCTATTTAAATTTCTGTGGATGTATATTTCCTGATACGAGTCTGCGGGACATGAGATGAAAAAGCTAACTCAAGACTACGTCGACGTTCAAGCTCTCGAGATTTATACAGAACATCAGCTTAAACCTCGTCTTCTTGAACATCCCAAACCGCGGTTCGCTTTTTCACCCGCTGGCTTGATCGATGAAACTCACCCACTCCTGCGAAGGACGCGCAGGGCTGATTCGGAGCCAATGATGTAGTGTTTGTGTTTGATATCTCGGCTTCTGTAGTCTCGGGCTTGGACCATACAGATTTTCATGCCTTTCCTTGTTACGAAACTTGTACCTGTGTGGGTGGGTCTTGTGTCCTTCTCTGCGGCGAAAGTCGACTAGTGAGCTCTATAAGCTTTCGAAGTGGAGCCGATTAGAAAGCCATTGCTCTTTTTAGTCCATCACTTGCCCGGTGTGCTATTGATCTCACCCTCACTGTCATTCACTCTTAGACACTCATTTCATTATTTACCACGTATTCACCTGGCCTGTCCATCTCTTTACTGAGACAATAACACCCACCTTCGTTTCGAAACCATCATTTGTAAGCAAGAAGCTAAGTAGTGGTCACCCTCCAACCGAGAAACCTTCCGAGTCACCAATTCTTTACCTCAAGTCTAGCGATGGTCCATTCGTCTGGAAAAGCTACTCGTTCTATCGAGATGAAGGTCCTTCTCTCGACATTTGCTCTCCTTTCCGCTCATGCTCAAGCGGCGAACCTGAATGGACACCCGCACCTCAACACATTGAGACCACGATCCCCATTTTCGTTGGGTGGCACAGCTCCTGCTTCCAACGTAGCTGTCAATACGAGTTGTGAACAGCCCGACATAAACAATGCAACTTGGATCCAACGGGGAATAGACTCTTACCTCGAGAGCTTTCCCAACGGTAGCACTATGTCGTTACAGGTGATTTCTGACAAGATTTTATCAAAGTTGCATCTATGAATCAATTAGACAGAGAGACGGAAAACTCATGGCTTGCTTCACGTTTACTGTTACTTCATTAATCCAGAAATTTGCTGCACATGCAGGTCTTGATAACTTCATTTGTGGGATTGGCGAGCAATGCCATGCTGGTCAAGTAAGTTTGAATGTTCCAGCTTTTGATGTCCTTTTACTGATATTTCGGGCAATTCATCAGATTTGTAGCCCAGCTCACTCGCCCGACTGGGAAGTCCTCGTTGGTGCACAAGAATGGAACAACTTCCGCAATAAACTCTACGAGGCTGTTGGAGTTGCTACTCAAATGGTGACATGTAAGTAAGAGACAGCATCCTCAAATTTAAAAATTTGATCTTAGAAGCATTTGGATGGCTATATTACCTTCGTCCTCATCTTCTTTCGAGTTCCCTTGACTGACTGATCAACCGCTCCGCTTCAATCTAACTTTCTAAAACCATAGCGATCTCTGGTACATTGGTATCAGATCTGTGAGTTTACAATCACTTCTTCAGCGCTACGAATCTTCAACTGATACATTGATCTGACGTACGATTAACAATGTTCCACATTGTAGATACCCTCCAGCTCACAAGGGTGAGCTATGGGACTTGATGAAAACCTTCACCCTTGCATCTACCATCGTCGCCACTATCTCTCTGCTATCGATCCTTGCCGGAGTGGGAAGTATAATCTTTATTGCAAGCTCTGTGGCGCTCGCCGTCACTGGTGGAATTGCCGGTGGGATTGGGGTCAAATTGGCACTCGAAACACCGGAGCCAGATGCGTTTGCCAGGGTAAATCAGTGATCTATTTTCTTCAAGTTGTGGACATATGCTGATGTACGTGTTTGATAGTGGTCTAATTATGCATTCTACTTGAGCCAATGGCAACAACACGTTCAAAAGAATATTGCAAATGGCACTCGAACAGTGATCGAGTCTGGCGTTAGCACCGCCCAAGGAATCTCTAGCGTGCTCAAGAACGGAACATTCTTCTATACGCGCCCTGAAGTCAACGAGGCTGAACTCATTTCATCTTTGAAGAACACTACAACTGCACGAATCGTCACCGATATACTTCGTAATCAGGTTCGTCGCCGGTCTTACAACATCTTTTCTTCTCTCCTTCTTGGCGAACCATGAAAGCTGATCTCTTGTGATGATATAGGGTGCATTTGTTACTGTTGGAAGCGTAGGTTTTGCAAACTCCTACACTATGCACCAAATGCAGTGCTCGCGAACTTTTTCTGACTGCATTGTGCGATGATGTTGGAACTTCAACACAGGACAAATGTACCGGGGATGGACCTGGAGGGGCATGGGGCTCAGCCGAGTCTTTGTCATACTGCTCTCCTAATGGAACGTAAGTTGTTCTCTACACATCATTTCACCCACCAGACCTAAATAGACATCTCTCAAACCTTACACCTTTTCGGTAACTTATCACCATCTATTGATCATTTACCGCTCGCTCTGCTTCTCCCTATAGCATGATGAACATCATTCATGGCGGAAAGAAAAAAGTAAACAACAAGTGGCACAATGCTGACTTGATCTACAAGAAGTATGGAATCACGGTCAAATACTTGGTAGAGCAATCTTGGGACTGTCAGGTCAAGCACGGTGGCTTCAGCTTTGACCCATACAAGTCTGGGTATGTCATCTATTGTTGAAAATTCACATACACAAGGTCCATTCACTAATATCCGCCAATTACCATTCTCCCGTAGTTCTTTCCCTACAGACATGAACTCCGAGTGTATTGCTAATCTCCCGGTTTGTGATCTGCGACAGCAAGGTGGGCGATTCATACAGACCTTGAGAGCAGAGAGGAACCTCGTATTGATGTCTTGATCCAACCCCCCAAAAACTTACAGAAATTGCTGAGGCTCGAAAGGAGAAGAACACAATGGGCGCTTGTAGAACAGCAGGAAAACTTCCGATCTGAAAGTCGAGGGTTCCACCCCTGAAGCTTCAACGCGTAGCTGTGCAATTTGTGAGCCTGAGAAGACGCGCAAAATACAGAGAAGCAATCTGGACCATCACACCAGACTGTCTGACTACACATTTCAACCTATACTGGTCCATCCGGCAGAATCTATATTGATGTTGAAAATACTCAATTTTGTCAAGTATCTGCTATATCAACCTATGTCCTTTCTGCGATGTAAAGCAGACACGGGATCTTGTTTTTGTTCTTTGCTACTTATCTTTGTCCGTTTGATATATCCTACTCCGTCAATATTTATTTCCATTCTAAAAATATTGTAGTAACCCTTTAAAGTACATTCAGTAGAAAGTGTGAGTAAGTGAGGTAACACAGGCTCTAGTCATCTTTATACATACATGCTTGATTTTATATGGAAATGATCAATCTATTGCAATGCTACATCTCCGAAGTACATCGATGTACACCGCAACAGTTCCTCGGGTTGATTTTTTGAGCCCTTGAGCCATTTGTATCTTCGCAAAGCCCACGCTGCATAATCACAAACGATAAACCAATAGCCTCAGATTGATAACATCCCCTCACTTCATAAACGACGCTTTCTTCCAAGTCCAATATGAAGTAGAGAGATGAACATCTCTTCATGATCAAGTCTTTGAACAGCTACGCAAATGGTCAAACTCTGCCCTCTTCCATTTACATCCCAATTTGATCTTACATATCGGATTGCTGGTAGGTACGGGCAGCAGAACCTGAAGTTGGGTCTACGATTTATGCCGTCGCTGAGTCATCAACGTCAAGGAAGCCACCCGGTTTGTATATCGTTGCGACCACGGCATAGGTTAGTTTGGTCGATGTTGGTTGTCCAATTCGTGCTGTGTCGTTGCTCGGTATTCTTATCGCTATTTTCTGCGTTGCAAAGACAACATATCAAAATGCCCCATATTTTCTTGCTCGTGCTAAACGTTGCGATAAATTTGGAAACTGCAAATGGATTTGTACCACATTACATCAACAACATATTGGAATACTTGAGAGGCTATAAATATTTTTTTCAGTTTGAGGGAGACTTGGGAAACTGTTGCCATCATTCTCGGTGGCCAAGTCCCAACGAGGAAGTCCCAATGGGCTCTTTCTCCATCTCTCAAACATCTCGGGGATCAGCTTGCTCTGGACTCGCACAGAGTCAGGATTGAATAGACTCGTAGCACGAGATGTCGCTCAGCTCTTTCATCCCCCATTACTTATTCCGAGTGCAGAAATCAAAATCTCCTTCAGCATACCACACATACCGCACAAGAAATGCCTCATGTCTCAGTGATATGGCGTGCGACCAAAAAGGTACGTATATGAAGTAGATTGCTTATCATTTCCATCGATTCACTGACCTTTATCCTATCATGTCACTATTATCTCTTTTAATAGGCTCTGCGCGCTCAGTCACGCACAGTATTCACCAATTATGTACAAGTACCACTGGGTATCATTGCTTTGCTTGTCCCATGCTGGGCGATAGATCTGCTCTTAAACAAGTACTCAATACTGTTTCCACCGTCGGTAAGTTTTCATCTTTCTTTTTGGGGGTATGAGCATCTTATCTCGAACTCTTGAGCCTTCAGGATCAGGTCATGAGTATCTGACCCAAGATTGACCGAATCCGCGCTCAACTGGGGAACCCAAAGTACGAGAAAACTGACATATCATTATCAAAATTCCAATGAACGCTAGATCATTTGCATGCTTCTTCTATTCATCTCATTGCTCTTCCTTCACAAAGTCTCCCCACATCGACTCTTGCCAGTTCTTAGGGGAAGTTTGAGGCCAGCTGTGAATTGGTCACTCAGTACTGTTGGTCTCTTCATGACCCCATCCTTTATTACGTAAGTTTTGGTTGAAATTTTCAAACGTTAGAACGTCATTGTCGAGGTCTAAAATCCCGCTCGACAGATTGCCTGTACATTCGTCTTTGACTCTTAGGCATATTGGTTTGATATGCGCATGGTTCTTCCCCCCTATACTCATCACCTGGACAATAGACATCCTCTTGTGTAAATTGATCAGCAAAGCGATTCCATTTCCTGAAGCCGATGGAACAATTAGCTCTGAGGAACAAAGTCGAAATCGAAGTCGCAGCCGAAGTCGAAATAAAAGCAAAGGTCACAGCCGGGCGGGGCACATGCCGACGATTCGTCACCCTCCATACGAAGATGAAAGATGGATTCCAACACCAGAGCCGGAAGAAAGCGACTCGGAAGATGAAGAAACTCCACGGCAGCGCGCAGTCACCCTTGATGCGTACTCGCCACAGGTTCGGCCGATGAGACCCCCCTCTTCTCTACCAGAGGCACAACGTCGAGTGTCAGAAAACGACACGTATGAAGTCGGAAATGCATACGAGGCCAGCCCAATAGTTCAAGCGAATTCAAATTCTACATTTCTTACAATGCCTACAACTAGCCGGCGTGATCATGAGAGACAATCCGAAACAGACTGGGACGAGGGACAGGGGTCTTTTCCTACAACACAAGAGGGCATCTCTTCAACAGCAGGAGAGACTTCCAGCTCTGGACTTTCTCGTGGGATGGTCGCTGTCAACATAATTCCGGAGCCCATCTCCACCCCTGCACCCTTACCGGACATAATTCTCTCACAAAAACTGAGCCGGCTAGTTGACCTGGTCATTTACGTCATCATATTTATGGTCGGCGTGGTACTCTTTTACACACCAGGTGGTGAAAAAAGATCTCAAGTCATCTTCATCGCAACGATCAGCCTGATATGGCTTTTCAGTAGGCGTATCATACCGCATTCTTGGACCAAGGTGCTACATCCCACACTCACAACAAGCTTGTTGGCTTCCTTTGGAATCCTTGGCATAGGCTCTACTATAGGTCTTAACAGACAACAGAGTGTGTATAATCATACGCTAAGCTTTTTTCAATGGTCTTCCTGTGAACATCAATTTTGACCGTAATTTTTTTTCTCTTTTGAAATCAGCCTACGACTTGTTCTACAAAGAAATGACCTATCTTGATTTCCTGGACCCGTTTTCGAAAGAAGGTATCGTAGTTCCTGGGGCAGGTGATATCTTAGAGAGTGTCTTGGATGCAGGCACGGTAAGTGTAGTAGATTTCTTATCTTATCATCATGGTGAACAAGGAAATTGATCTCTCAGCACTTTGACTTTAGGTCGGATTGGCGTTCACAATCTTTGATTACCGGCGTGATTTATATCATAACTTCTTCAGAATCTTTTTGGTCGTTCTTCCCAACTGTGTGTTATCATTACTACTTTGGCCTTACCTCGCCCGTCAAATTGGACTCTTACCAGAACAGGCCATAGATTGGGCGGGAAGATCAATGTTAGTACCATCATGATTTAAAAAGCAGTTCCTATACTGATATATGTACCACTAAATTCCTGAAACCCAGGTCTGCTCCGCTTGCCCTCGAGCTCCTCAAGGCTACCAAAGGCGATCGAAACCTAGGCGCTGTGCTAGTTTATCTGACCGGTATAGCTGTGAGCAGATCACCTATATAATCGGCTGCCTCAGACCTCCGATCATATAACAAGATGAACTGATTATCTCGCTTTTCTTGTATAACAGGTCACAGTTTTTAGGACGCCTATGTTTCGGCTCTTCAGGATTAGACCGGCATCTGCTAAAACTCACGAGGATTATTTCACCATTGGAGTTACAGTAGGTGCCTTAGGTGGTGTTATAGGAACATCAGGACTTTTCAAAAGACATCGAAGAGCAGCTGGTACAGCCACAATAGCTTTAGTGATCTACGCCATCATTATGCTTTGCTTGGTTGCAGTACCTATCGTTTCACAATTTCTTGACACCTTGGTAGGGAGACCATCAGGAGGAAGGTCTGAGTTATGAGTTCTTGGATAGGTATAAACATCTGAATAGAAAGACAAACCAAACAAACCAAGGGTTGTAGTTAAAATTTCGCAAGGACAATAAATCAATCTTTTATCTTCATCATTTAAATCGTTTTACACCAGAAATGGAAATGGAAAAATCCTACATTTTTCATTGACACACATGTATCACCTAACAACAAGAAAATTTGTCCACATCTTCGAAAGCTTGTCACATCTTGTATTTAGTTCAAAGTAAATTTGATTGCAATCTTTTGGCACATTTGGTTTTTTGATTCCAAGTATTTTGAAATCCTTTGACATCTTTTTCTGAAAAGACTTGGACAAAACATGGTTCATGCAGGAGAGGTGCCTGAATGATGCAACATGGAAATGAGGTAGATATAAATTCAGGTGCCAGGGAGTATTGATTTTAGTATATTGACAGTAGCGTAGGCAAAGAAAATCTGCAGAGGTGATGGAGCCCTTGAAGTCGACTTTTCCCGCCTCCGCAGGCTCCAGAGTAGGAGGCTGGGACTTAGTAAGAGACCCCCTTTCGCAATCAAAGTCGCATTGATCATTCAATGCAACTCTTGTATGTAGAAGAAATTCTTCCAACAATTAATCCTGTACCGCAAAGTCTGTCTGTTTGCACAAGGGGGCAGTACATACACAAGTTGTAATATTTGTTGTGGGCTAAATCTATGGCATCTTCCAACAAATCAAAGATCTGCACGCATGAATCAGCAAATTTGAACACATATACACCGCCTTCTTGTATCAATTTCAGGAGGCAATCATCCATCACAGCTGATATGATACATTGGACATTAGCTTCACATAGGAAAGTTCTGATGTGCGAAATTAGCTTTTTATGCCTCAGACAAGGTGCAAGGTTTTGATAGCCTTGGAAATCATAAGTCTTTAACAGAAGTAATTCCTCAATGAGTCTTGAAACTTTCTTGAATTTCTTACTTAAAACAGCCCAGACAACTGCCATTGAGTGTGGATCACACTCCTGGGTTTGGCAGGGATTAGAACGATTCAGCTGAATGCGACAAGCGTTTTGTTTCGTTGGGCTTGGCATGAGTCGAGGTCTAGACTGATATCACTAATTAGACGCGTGGTGTTTGGCGAATCTGAGAAGAGTACGTGATTGGTGTTTCCCTATTTTATATTACACAAGTCGTGAATTTCTAGGTGACTATATATCCTCTGGCAAAAAACAATCATAACATGATATAGTAAATTGAGCAGATAAGTTGAAGGATTTTGGCTGAAGAGTTGTAATACTGTCATCCTTTTTGAAACCCCTATCAATATTCCACCACGCAAAAAACACAGAGAAAAAACGATTCAGTAATCACGTTGATTTGAAAGATGTTGAAAATGCAGCCAATAGAGCTATCAAATCGCGTGTAACTTACAAGTCTTTTCCTTTCGTAAAATAGATCCGTCCGACTTGCACCTAGAGAGAGAGAAAAAAGATATAAAGGTTCAATTCTTCCGAAATGAAGAAGGTTAAGCAAGAATACGAACCCAAGTTAACGATCTTAGGACACCCATCCCGATCTTTCTCCAACCTCGTACACTCCGCACCTACAAAATCCCCATCCAAAAGCCACCAAAAACACGTCAAAACCAAAACCAAAACCAGCGACGGAAGTTTTCTTCGCGAAAAAAAATGTGAATGTTTCTTACAATAATAAGCATCACTAATACCAGGACTACCACAAATAATACATCTTCCACCATAAGTACCAAAGTTACATTCATCACAAATCCTAACTAAAGTTTGAGGTCTAACATAAGAATCACAAATCGGACATTTCCCATCACATTTTTCACACATCCTTCCAATGGCTATACCAGATTGTTTACGACATTGAATTAAATCAGGATGATCTATTGATTGATAAAGAAAAATCGAAAAGAGTTTGGTTTGATCAAAAGTTTCTTTCTGTTTTTGTTTTCGGGTTTGAGTGATTCTGGACTTACGTTTTGACATTGTATGAAGAATGTATTCGGAGCTGTTGGATTGGATAAGACTGGTTTAGGAAACAGCTCGTTATGGATATCTCGACTTGTAGAAGATGAAAAGAGATGAGGTCGATCGATGATTGATTTGGTTTGACGATTGACTTCAATTTCAATCGGGGTCAACATGTATGCAGATCCGGATCCAATCGAAATCTGCACCGGTACTGATCGAGCATCACTCTCGAAGGGCTTTCGGGGCTTTTGTTTGAGGAACCGAACAGGTCACAAAATCCACGAATGATTCGAGCAAGTTGCAGTCAAATGAGAGCCATCCTAATTCCTATAACCTTTGAAGTTTCTTCTGATCAATCCAGTTAAAACATGAGAAGTTCAACTTTAATCATCCGTCTCGTCTCACGACTGCATACATTGTTTTCGACGAGTTCGTCTGAGCAGATGATACATAGCAAGGGTATTGAACAGAACAAAGTGGCAAAAATACAACAATAGCTATTACAACAAGCTCAGATGATCCTGACTGAATGATAAGCCTTGGTTGGAAGATATAAACAGAGTCGATGTATTGTACGTTGACAATGATCTGATTTGATAAGACCACTATAATTTACCTTTTAAGAAAAAGGGAAGCCGGACAATGAATGAAAATGTGGATAGTTTCAAGATAAGAAAGAAGGAAATGTACCCCGTTGAAGATTTCATACTACTCCGATGATCACATTGATACTTGATTTGTGCGGAGTCCTTGTTATAGAGGGTGAATTGATGATGATAATTGATATATGCTCTTTTCAAATCACTTTCTCTTGATGAAAGATTTGGGGTGCTTGATAGTTTTGAATGTTGTCAGTTGAAGTGGTATCCTGTTCGATGGATGTTGACAATTTCAAGTAGAATGAAGAGCAGGTGAAGAAAGAGAAAGCAAACTTGAAATCGAATGGGCTTCAGATGCAGAAAGAGATTGGGAAGATTCGGTACGTTTATGGCTTTACATATGAATCTCGATCACTGAGTGTATGTATGTATGGGTTTAAAGAAGTGTGAGTAGTTATGGTTTGATTGGCTTCTTTGAGATTTCTTCTTCATCTCATTGACCATCATCAACTTCAAGCTCAAGTTACTTACTTTAATGACAGTCTATCATCTTCAAATCACACTTCTAGATCGTAGTTCACCAAACTCATCTAGACGTATCCTTCGTGGTTCAACTTCCATCAGATCAGCTGGTCGTACTCCTCATCCAACAGTCACTGGTTTACCTGGCAAACTTGATTTTCATATATCAGATTCACCTACTTATTTACCATCTCAATCTGGATTTTGGGAAGATTTAAGTCAAGTACCTACCACAAGAATTGGAGAACGTTGGGATCGATTACCTGAATTAAAACCCATCAATCCTAAAGCTTATTGGTACGAACCTGATTCAATCTTACCTAATTCTCAATCAACTACAACCACTACAACCACAACAACTTTTACTCCAGCTCCTACTTTGGATTATAGATTTGGTCCGATTTCGGTTGATTGGATTGATCATCCTGATTGTCATCCTGCATTTTCAAATTCTTGTGAAGAATCATTAAATTACAAACCAACATCAGAATCTAATTCAAATCTTCAACCTAGTCAACCAGAAATCAAAAAAGGAATGAAAGACTATAAAAAAGAAGAAATATATCAAACTGAAAAATCTCCAAACCCTCAAACCAATTTACCAACCGGACGGTTTGAATCACAAGATTTCAATCAAAAAGGAAAATATCAATTAGGTTCTACTGATTTTGGTTATGGTACTGTACATCTTTATCGTGATTTTGAAGAAGCTTCTGCTTCGAGTCCTTCAAGCAATCAATTAAATTGGATAGATGGTGATCCATCCTGGACTAAGAAACATCCTAAACGTGTAAATCAGAACTTGGCTTCTACTTCGACTTCTAATCAGGATGATACCCAACGTGAAGAGGATACCGAGGGGACGGTTATTGGGGTCTTGGCTATCCCATCTTATATGACTGCTCAAGGTCAGACCCAGTTTCTAAATAATCTACCTTGAATGACCGAATTATTCAAGACTTGCTGATCTACTTTTACTTTCTACGTCATGACTTATCCTTTGGATCGAATCAGATTTTTTAGCCTTTATTTCTACATTTGTAGAATCAATCCAGAGTGTAAGGATGTTACGGTGAGCCTTTTTGCCTTCTCTGCCTTCCACTAGCCAAGGTGATACTTCACAAGTAAAGTCTGTCACTGATTTATGTTCATGTTATGGTAGAGATGCACTCCCCAACCGATGTATGGGCTTGATCAAATTTCGATCTAGGCAATATGCTGATCGATTTGCTCACGAGTTCAATGGTAGACCCTTTTCACACCTTCAGGTATGTTCCGTTTCCTGTCTAAAGAATTCTTAGAGCGCTTCCAAAGTTGACTCAATACTGTGATTGCATTATCGCAGGATCGAGAGATTTGTCATACGGCTAGAATTAGATCCATTCAATTCAAATCTTCACTTATACCTCCATTTACATTCCCAGCTTTGCTTCCACCTGACTTTATGACACATTCAGCCCACGAGTTACCCACTTGTCCAGTTTGCTTAGAACGTATGGATGCATCTGTGTTTGTTCATTCTTCAACTTTCTAATAAGCTTATCCAGCCCAACATCTAACTGATGGGTTTTTGTTCCATCATACAGTACCGGTTTACTAACCAGCACATGTTCACATACATTCCATTGTCATTGTCTATCAAATTGGGGAGATTCACGTTGTCCAATCTGTCGTTATTCACAAACAAGACTTTATGGACCCTCGAAAGAAGGAGAAGGAAATTCAAATCCAAGTGAATGTGCAGCATGTGGAAGTGAAGCGAATCTTTGGATCTGTTTAATTTGTGGTCATGTGGGTTGTGGACGATATCAAGGTGGTCATGCTTATAGACATTTTGAAGAAAGTGCTCATCTCTATGCACTTGAACTGGGTTCACAACGTGTTTGGGATTATGTGGGTGATAAGTAAGTTTTTCTTCATCAATTCTTTCTTCGTTAAAATAGCCATGATTGCTAACCAATCCGATCTTTTAGTTATGTACATCGATTGATACAGACTAAGAGTGACCAAATTGTTGAGTTACCTGCACTTTCATCTGCTGTCTTTGATTCAAGAAGTGGTAGTGGTGGACCAGGACCAAATGAAGCAGCACAACAATCCAAAATCGAAGCGATCTCAGAAGAATTTGGACATCTAGTGGCTTCTCAATTAGATTCACAACGAAATTTTTATGAAAAAGAGATTGAAATTCTTAAAGAAAGATTAAATGAAACTGGAAATCTGAACATTCGATTTAAACCTAAATTAGAATCGATGAAAGAAAGTAAAGAAACAGATCAAAGATTAGAAATTGAAATTCAAGAATTGAAAGAAAGAAATGAAAGTTTAAGATTAGAAAGAGATGAAGTATATAAAGAATATCAAAATGATAAACTCAAATTAGAAAAGAAATGTGAAAAGTTTATGGAATTGAGTAAAAAGTTTGAATTGGAATTAAAAGAAGAAAAAGCAATGAGTCTTGGGTTTCGAATCAAATTAAACAAATTAGAATCTGATTGTGAACTTAGTGAAAAGAACAGAAAAGGTTTAGAAGAAGAAGTGGGTGAACTTAGGGATCAATTAAGAGATGGTGAGATATATTTTTCTTTGGATTTGATTTTGGGAGGGTTTCAATTGATTGATAATTTTGTTTTGTCTTACGTGATCGAATTAGTGATGTTCTTTTTGGATGCACAAACTAAAATTGAAAAGGAAGGAGGAGAAGAAATGAGAGGAGGTACCTTGGTTGTGAATTCTAATGAAACCAATGTCAATTCAGGAAAATCAAATCGAAAGAAAAAGAAATAAAGTTCAATTGATTTGAGAATCTGATTTATTTATTTGTAGTTTAGGTTTATGGACGCATTTTTGTTTTGTTGTAATTGGTATCAGTATCTTTATGAATTTGTATTTTTAATATATATGGAAGTTCCAATGATCCAAAAGAATAATGTCCACAAATTGTTTGATCTTCTTGGATCATTAATAACAAGTCAATACATGATTTCAATCTTATGATCTTTTATATAGAATGAGTTTGGATCCATTTGATTCATCAATGTGTAGATGTTTTGATGAACCAGCCATAATGAAAGACACCAAGGAGATCCATTTTTGATTTTAAAGACTTTGAATCAAATAAATAGGGGTACACAAACATCTCAACCCGACCTAATAAAACCCATGGCAACCCGATTGATTTTTGGATTTTTTAGTGCCAAAAACTCAAAATCAATCGGGTTGGCACGGGTTTTTTGGATGGGTTTTTAAGGTCGGGTTGAGATGTTTGTGTACCCCTAATGATGATGACTTCAAGTCAATTTCAAATGGTTTATTGTTCAACTGACTTTATTCTACACATCTCTATACATACTTCTGATCCTATTCTACATTCTAAACACAACATCAAAGAACATCATAGTCTACATACTCAATCTGAAGACTTCTTCTAGATACAAATCAAATCTAAGCTCCAAAACAACCTTTAGAAAGTAAGAATTGACCTAAGATCCCAGCAATGATACCAATGATCGTTTTGATTATATTACTTGCACAACTTAAACCTGGTAAAGTAGGTATACCAGATCTACCTAAATCACTTGGAAAATTATCTATTTGACTATTCAAAACAAAACACTTATTAGTATCAAGATTGAAATCAAAAAAGCAGTGTCAAAAAGATGATTTACTGAGAGATTCTGTATTTCCCATCTTCTTCTTTTCTTATATCTAGTAATGTAATAAATCTTACGTGGACTCTGAATGCTGGCCATGGTAAAACTCTTGGATTGGCATTTTGAGTTAAATCTAAGTGAAATCAAAACCGAAATTGAATCAGTTGGTTAACTTGAAGATCAATTCCATTAGAACTAAACAAGAAATGTAGGTGATGACTTACCAATTGCTGCATGAGTTTTATCTTCATCAAACATGACTGAATGGAAATCTATTTTGTTATTAATCGTAAAGACTCGTCTTTAGTTTTTTAAAATCATAAGAAAAATAAAATCAGATAAATCAACTTTGTATGTTCTTCAAGAATTTCATAAATATAATATCATCAAAGGTTTGTAACACTAACAAAAACTTATAGTATCCTTTTAACATATCTTTTCCATGTGCTGATTTAGGTTGATTCAACAATGGATGTTCGATATAAGCATCTTCAGTGAAATATCTAAAAGAAGATTCGATCAGTCGAAAGAAAATGTAAAGCAAAACTTGATTTGATGATTTACTTTTCAATGTTTTGGGTGATCACATTTGCTGAGTATGGTTCAGTGATCGATCTAAATACTTCTCTGAGCTATGTATTGAAGAAATGGAAAAATCAAGTTTGAAACTGGTTAGCCTTCAATTCTTTCTCTACATTTGAAAACTTCATCGTCATTTCATTTCAGAGGTGATGTTTACTCACTTCTGCTACTGGGTCTTCCATCTTGGTTTTAGGTCTATGAATTTGTTCAAAGTCTTCAATCACAATATATCATTCACTATTCTCTTTGGAAACTGACCTTTACTTTGATGTGATGAAGAATTCAGATTGAGTCGATGGTTGAAGAGAAAAGGTGCAAGGATGACGACGATGAGTGTTAAAAGAGGGAAGATGGCTTTGATCCAATCTTAATTTTCACAGCAAGTCTCATGATTCGTCATCTCATCATGTCTCACAGTCTCAATAGACCTGATGACGACCTGATTACCAATTTGAACATCATTCGGTGTTTCTGAAGTTTATAACCGATTGACGTCACATTTCTCAAACTTTGACTGAAAGTTAAGCGACTGATTTGCTTCATCCAAAAGAAACCTATCATGGAGGAGTAGGTGTGACCTTTCACGTTTATTCAAGCAGGTTTTAGAGTCTCTATATACCCCTCCTAGATAAGCTATCCACATTCGAGTTGGAAATCATCTTATATCTTCATAAGGATCACTCATGAAGAGTGAATAGCTGTGAATAGTCAATCTGATGGTGATACTCAGAGGGATATTCTTGCATAGCCGTAGCAAAATCCTCAGAACCTTCTTGTTCAAAAGATTTTGTCATCACCAACATATATAACAACTTTTGAACAGAATCAATGAGCAGCTCAAAACTCTTTCTAAGAAGATAGGTTGCTTTGCAAGATTATTGCAAGGGCTCCATGAACTCAAAGTAGCTTGCAAAAACACTTCTATTTTCTAAACTGACACTACCAGTGGATGCCAGACAATTATTCAAGTCTTATCAACTCAAAAAGGAATCACCAAGATCAAACCTGACGAAAACTTTAAATAAAATTAATTAAGCACCAAACCAACCTTTATAAAGTAAGAATTGTCCCAAAGTTCCAATAAAGATACCAATGATAATCTTAATGAAATTATTAGCCAAATCAAACCCAGGTAAGATTGATAACCCACCTATATTACTTGGAAAACAATCTATTTGACTAACAGAAAAAAGAGAGAAATAAAAACACCTAAATAAGTAGCTAGAAAAGATAGAGAAATGAATAAAGAGGGTAGGGTGAAAAGGATTGAATGGATTACTGATATATTCTATATTTTCCATCTTCATCTTTTCTCATCTTTACAAATACATAAAATCTTACGTGGATTCTAAATGTTGGCCATGGTAGCCATCTTGGATTAGCATTTTCAGTTAAATCTATAGAAAAGTAAGAATTCGATATCTTAGTTAACGTCAAGACAAGATTTATTTATTTTTTGAAAAGAAATAGAAAGTATATTTACCAATGGCAGCACGTGTTTTATCTTCATTAAACATGACTGAATGAAAATCTATTTTGTTATTGATCGTGAAAACTCGTCTTTTTTTGTACAATCCCAAAAAAAAAATCAAAATTATTTAGCTCCTGATCTGATGATTTATAGTTAATCGAACTGATTATATATATACTAACACAAACTTATAGTAGCCTTTTAACATTTCTTTTCCATGTGCTGATTTAGGTTGATTAAACGTTGGATGTTCAATATACGCATCTTCAGTGAAGTATCTAAAGATTTTGATACAATTTTTTTTCGTTTGGAAAGAAATTTGATTCAGTGAAACAAGAAATGAGTTTATATTTTAGGAAATGGTTAATTAAATACTTTTCAATATTTTGAGCCATCACACTTGCTGCGTATGGTTCAGTGATCGATCGAACGACGTCCCTGAGCTACATCAAAGATATCAAGATTCATTAATCAGCCTGGTCCAAAGCCGATGGGGGACTTTGATCACCGCTGAGAGAGTCTGAGGGAAAAGCTTCCTAAAGCTACTCACTTCTCTTACTGGGTCTTCCATAGTCGTTCTCGGTACAGCTGAAATTTTTAAAGGGCTCACTAGTTTATCGGCGTACCACTCACTGACTACGTTGGAAGAATTCCTTCAATTTTGAAAGATTACTCGTGGTTCTAAATCGACTCTTTGAGTGAATGGACCAGATGGGTCTTGATGGAGGGTGCTCGTCACATATGACATTGGTGAACCTTCATGCCTTGCACATTCATACAAGGTGTCGGTAAAAGATTTCACCATGGTGATCGAGACTTGAAATGTGTACCGTGATGGTGCAGGACCGTGCGCAAAACTCAACAGCCTCCTATGGTTGAGGATTTCCGAACATGCATGCTGAAGTTGCTGAACAGCGCGGTGAAGTTGCTGTGCATCTTAACAAGTCAAATAGAGTCAAATTCAATCAAGGTGAGATATCTGGGTTCGGCCGAAGCTTCGACCAATGACAGCTCAAAAGGGCATACCTCCTCACTGTTGAAGAGTTGCATATCCCCAGTTCACAAACATGCCGCATCAAATCGAACATCCATCATCGGAGGCCAATATGGATTCTGAAAGCTTTCATAAAGACTCATTTTCGTCTATTGCCCGCACCACAGCTCTTGAAGATACTTTCACCGCCATAGAGTTACAGCCTTGGAAGGGTACAGACGCGCGGAATATTCATCTCCCAAATTCCATGGAAGCAGACGTCGGCCACAACCCAAGAAGATTTTCACCGTTAAACACAGATGACGATGAGAAATCGGAATCAGATGCCAGGTAACTTGAATTATTGCAATTTGATGAATCGCACATCGGATCCTCGAGACTGAAATCATACTGACATATTTTTTTTCCTCCTTTTGCACAGCCCAGACCCCGATCCAAGATATATCCGCTCAAAATTTCTCTCGCCGTACGCATGGTCGATTGTATTGGGAGAATTATGTGTTATTCTCTTTGTTACTGGTTTCATTATTGTCACAAATCTGTGTCAAGTACCATTACCACCAAGCGTAGCCCAATGGGCAAAGGATTCTCCAAATATGAAGGCTTTTTGCGTCACAGCGATTTCAACATCTCTTTCGGTATTATGCTCATTGTAAGTTGATATTCGTTTTTGTGAAGATATCAAATATGAAGAAAGTAACGTGGCAGCCTTCCTCTGTAGCGGGTTTTCCAACGCAGTACTTTTGTATACGACCGCTACTTTGACTCGGAGTCCTACTTCACTATTTGAACTTTCAGCCGTCATTGATGTTTCAAGAGCATCATTTGTTTTTCGGAAATCCCATTTAACGATCTCGATTATGACCGTAGCTAGTACGATCGTACTAAAATCGATGACAGCCAGGTGATTAGCAATACTTGTCAACCAACTCATACCACTAGAGCTGATGACTTATTCTTTTTTCTCACCATGATAGCTTTGCCACTCTTCTGACACCATCACCCATCATGTTACGCCAGGGTATGTCAGGCCAAGAAATTGATTTAAGTAAAGCCGAGTTTGGAAAAATGTTACACAAAGAGATAGGCTGGGATGATGAAGGTAAGTTTTTCTTATTGAATGTTTTCAATATCTCATGCTGATTCCACTATTGCAAAACTTAGAACGCACCCAGCCTCAGGGCAGTGCAGTATTTGGATACATAGCAGGTTATGGCAGTATGCCAGCGGCTCCCTCTCACACCAGATATCCCAGCATGTTCACGTTCAACGGAGCGACATATTCGATCCCTACTGGTGAGCATCATTTCAATATGTTTTTTTTACAAGTTTGAACAATTTTATGTGGTTTAATAGGGGGAATCCTGGCCGTTGGTCCAATGCACTCAGTAATTCACAATCCACGTAAGGATGGACACTTGGTTGGAGATGACACTGCAGTTGAAATGAAAAAATATTATCATGTCGATGGAATAGCAGATGACACTGTCTTTAGCACTTCAATAAACTATACAACTCATCAAATAGGATTACGGGGAGGGGTCTCATGTAAAGCTATAGGTTCATCTGGTTTAGCAAGTTCTTGTGCTAGAATTCAACTCAAGCTGGTCAAACATTGGAAGTCACCTTCGCCTCGTAATCAAAGTTTCTCTGATTGGGTTTTGAGCGGAGCTTGCCCAAATGGAACACAAATTGGTGAGCGGCCGCCCTCTAGTGGAAATTCTATCACCCCACTAAATGTCTCCTTGTGTCAGATGTGCCTATGACTACCTTCCGGTACATCCCGGGACTGAGAAACAAGACAGTAGAGATTATGGGCCAAGCTGGTGCTCATGTTTGCTTTGATCAAGATTTGACCGGTGCTAAATCAACTGGAAATCATGGTGCGTAGCATTCAATTCAAACCAACTTGTTCTGCGGACCCTGAAGTATGTTCTTCAGTTCTCATTTTGGCTGGAAAGGGATCACGATACCATTTCTTGAGGCCAACTGTGTGTGAAATCCGACCGACAATTGGCACTTATCAAGTTTTTTACAATTATCCAACTGTTATAATTGACCACACTAGTTTTTGTCCAACCCATCGTATGTCAGAACATACTCGGCTTCTTTCAAAGTACCTTGCCATGTTGACAAAGGCAATAGTTTCTAGCACTCAATCTATGTGGGCAAATACCTTTGGCGATGTTATCTTTTCAGTTTACAATGCTACTGAGGGGCTCGAGGAAGGCAAATTGGACACAATTCTTGTATGTTTCTTGTCAAAAAAATGATGGTTGTGTAAGGAGTACACACATAATCATGGCTTTGGGTTACATTATGGGTTTAGACATTTCTTGTATACATTTCATCCTCCACGCCGAACTCCAACAGTCCTCACTCTTTCGAGAGCCTTATCTGGGACTGTTTGGAGTTAGGTGAGCTCATCTCAGTTCTCTTTGTGTCCCTTCGGGGTTTTCTCTTTTACTTGTCTTTTGTTGTGTCGCTGACTCTTTCGAGAGCCTTATCTGGGACTGTTTGGAGTTAGATCCTTCGAAATATAAACCGAAGTTCCAAGTAGCTGCTCCTCGAGAGAGTCGGATCAGAGAGAATTCAGAAGCTTCAGTGAAGGTCCACAAAGACCTTACACTTTTTTTTACTTGTCACTTCGATAAACAATTCGGAGCTCTATTCCTGTTTCTCTATCTGTCGACATATTTTTTTTCTGTCATCTGTCATCTGCCATCCGATTATTCAGTTCTGTCAAAACTCGGTAAACGAACTCTGCAAATCCGGTCTGCTTCTGTCAACGTCAAACCTTAATTACTTCATACCATTTTGTCGAATGAGCAATAACGCTTCATTCAAACCGGACTATTATCTTGACGATCCCGAAATCTTACTTCGAAAACTTCGAAAAGGCAAGCAAGTCACAATCACAGAGACTCCTCCGGCACCTCCTCCCCCCAATTACTCTTGGCGAGAGGAGGCTTTTGTTTCGGGGTCTCCAGCGCCAACCGACCGAATCGTGTACGCATCGAGTGCTCGAGAGACTAACACAGCGGAGTCTACACGATTACGATTTTCACCACCAGTAATTTCACCGTCACATTCAGAAGCCACGATCATTGAGCGGCATTTCAAAAAGCTACTGGATCAAAACCCTCACCGTGTCTGTGTAGGCTTTGCTAGTCGACGAGCGCACACCAACTCCCTTTGAGGCAGAAAGGGAAGTCGTGCGCGCTCGTCGACGAGCGAACACTACCCGGACACGGTGCCTACTGCGTCTACACCTCATCCACCGGGACACCTCTTACTCGAAACACCCAAGGTATCTCAACCAGCATCGTCATCTACCATGTCGGGCGAGCCATCAAACGCTACGATGGGGAACGAAGACAGTGTCGTATCGTTGCGACAAGAGCTGGAAGCGATGAGGCTACAGAACGAGAAGATGGAAAAGTTGGCTGAGCAAAATCTGACCCTGCAGCGATTGGTGCGAGAATTATTGGAAGGCAAGGCACAAGTTACCCGCGCCGTGGAAGGATCAGCCCCACCTTCAGGCGATCCATCCAATGTGTTTGAACGCTATTTACAGCAAGGCCAAACAACGCCTTCTCCGTTACCCCGCGAATCGACCACAGCCCAAGCCGCTCCAATCGAATCGACACCTTTAGATCAGGTATTGCCATCTGCCACTAATCGACATGGGAGTCCACCACGACCTTTTTCACCTAGGCAGGCACCATCTCCTCACTATCATTCGATCCCGGCCAATTCGCCTCAGTACGCTCGGGCCACGAGTGTGCCTCATATGCAATCGTTTCAGCAAGCAGTACCCGATGCCCATTCCCAATTCATACCATCGTCAACAACTGCGGATCGGGTAAAGCTTAGCGATTTACCGAAATTCACTGGCAAGTTCGGAGTCCCTGCCGATCTCTTTCACTGGCATAGCTTGATTGAAGAGACCTTTGAGGTTAAGAATGTCAACGACGACGGGGAGAAGCTGAAATTATTGGGGTCATTATTGAACGAGGAGGCGATGGCAGCCTGGTACCAGTCCAACAAGGACAGTTTGAAACGGGGGACGTGGAAGGAAGCTATGGAGACAATGGCAATGGGTACCTTGCCTCACGCTTGGCTGACAGACACTGAGGAGGCATTTAGGCGATTGGAGATGAAGCCTCAAGAGTCATTCAACGCATATGTCACACGGGCTCAAGCTCTGCACCGGTTGATAAAACGCTCTGGACACATCACCGACCGACATCTAGCTCAGCACATCACCTGGGGCGCTCCTCAACTCTTCAGGGACATGATTGACCGAGAAAAACACCTCCTAGTCGAAAATTTCCAATTTCCTGTTTTCAAAGACGCTGCGGACGGTATATGGCGGTTCCTTATCAATAGCAAGCTGCTACCCGATCCTACTGCCAAGGCCAAAACTCACAGCCCAGCCATGGGATCAACCTTCATTAGCCAGCGTGTCTCAAACCCCCCGAGAGCTCGTACTGAAGAGGAGCGTGCGGAAAATGGATGGAGATATCATGAATATCTTAGAAGATCCGGTATTTGCAGTGTGTGCAAGGAGAAATGTAACGATCCAGGGTGTAACAGACGATCATCACGATTTCTATCAGTCCCTTCTAACTTTGATGCCGGACCTAGACCTTCCCGTCCATTGACAACGACCAGAAGTAACCCACCAGGTGCTCCAACTCAACGCCCGGCCGGTCGCCCAACCAACCCAATGCCTGCAACCCGTGTAGCGGCCTTCGATTCATTTCCTGATGTACTTGTTGAAGACATCGCGGCATATGAGGAAGCTGATCGGTTTCGGCAGACTCAAGTCGAAGAGGTAGCGGAGGGTGATGCAGGGTGCGTAGCTCCTCTGTCGGTTTCACCAGTCATCTTAGAACTAATGTGTAATGGTAAAACCATACGTGCTCTGATTGACACTGGTGCAGGAGCGAACCTACTGTCGGACTCAATGGCATCTAAACTACGGATCCCACGACGTCCTCTGGTTTCTCCTGTAGAGGTACGCCTAGCTGTAGCTACAGATGGTGAACCCATTGTGCTGAAAGAATTCGCAATGGCTAATCTCAAATCCGAAACTCCTAGTATTCGATTTGGGGCCGTTTTCTTCAAGCTCGCGCCATTGGGGTCGAAGTATGACATGATTCTTGGGTCTCCTTTCCTCTCAAAATTTAAGCTAGACGTTTCTCTTCATCGACGTTGTGTTGTGCATACGCCAAGTGGCAAAGTTATTTTTGAAAAAGAAATGCAAGATGAGTTGAAAAGGTTGATGTGTGCAGTGGAGAACTTACATAAGATTAGTGAAGTTGAGAAATTAGGTGAGAAAGAAGATGCTATGTTGAAAGATTTCAAAGATCTATTTCCGGCGGAACTGCCACCAGTTGAAGACGGAGAGGTAGAAGAGACTTTCCCTGAAGGAATGCCTGATTCAACAAGACAAGTTCGGCACAAAATCATTCTGACTGACCCTAACGTAGTCATTAACGAGAAACAATATGGTTATCCGCTGAAGTATCGTGAATCCTGGCGTAAGCTGATTGACCAACATCTACGTGCAGGACGAATACGACGTTCCCAGAGTCAGTATGCGTCGCCATCAATGATTATCCCAAAGAAAGATCCAACTGAACTTCCTAGGTGGATTTGCGACTACCGGACCCTCAACAAATACACCGTCAAGGACAGAGCACCATTACCCAATGTCGATGAGTCCGTCAGGCTGGTAGCAACTGGGAAGGTTTGGTCAGTGGTTGATCAGGTAAACTCTTTTTTTCAAGACAGGATGCGGGAAGAAGATATCCCTTTGACAGCAGTCAAAACACCATGGGGGTTATACGAGTGGGTGGTCATGCCGATGGGACTTACCAATGGTCCAGCAACTCATCAGGCACGTAATGAGGAAATTTTAGGAGAATTGGTGGGGAAAATATGTGTTGTTTATATTGATGATATTGTAATTTTTTCTCAAACCGTGGAGGAGCACGAGAAACATTTGCGGATGGTTTTGGAACGGTTACGTGCAGCAAAGCTTTACTGTTCAATCAAGAAGAGCAAGCTCTTTCGAAGACAGATACATTTTCTAGGACATGACATCAGCGCTGACGGAATCTGTCCAGACGAAGAGAAGGTCGAAAAAATCACCAAATGGGCTACGCCATCCACCTCAAAACAACTGTTGAAGTTTTTAGGTACAGTGCAGTGGATGAAGAAGTTCATCGACGGCTTGTCTCATTATGTAGGAACTTTGACGCCTTTGACAAGCACAACCTTGAAAAACAAGCCTTTCAAGTGGGGACAGGCTGAAGAGGACGCCTTCAACAATATCAAAAGATTGATCACAACACTACCAGTCCTGCGAAATCTTGATTATGACTCTGAGGAACCCATCTGGCTTTTCACCGACGCTAGCGGACATGGACTGGGAGCTGCGCTCTTTCAAGGCGCAGAGTGGGATACGGCATCACCGGTTGCTTATGAAAGCCGAACAATGAATGCTGCAGAGCGGAATTATCCTGTCCACGAACAAGAGTTATTAGCGGTCATCAATGCGCTCAACAAGTGGAGACTGTTACTGCTAGGAATGCGTGTCAATGTGATGTCAGATCACCACTCACTGACAACATTGCTCACACAACGCAACTTAAGTCGTCGACAAGCGAGGTGGCTAGAGACCTTATCCCAATTCGACCTAGATTTCCGGTACCTCAAAGGAGAAGATAACACTGTTGCTGATGCTTTGTCTCGACGTGACGAGGTAGCCTCTTGTGAAGTCCATGCCGCCCTGAATGACGAGGAGCTGATAGAAATCCGTGAAGGCTATGAACTCGACGCCTTCTGCGTTAAACTACAAAAAGTGTTGCCCTTACGAGATGACTGCATCGAGAAAGATGGCCTGCTTTACCTGGATGGGCGGTTAGTGATTCCGCGTCATGGAAACCTTCGTCAGGACTTCACAACGCAAGCTCACGAGGCGTTAGGACATCTTGGTACCGTCAAGACCTTGGCACGCCTTCGACATACCTTCTTCTGGCCAAGTATGTCAAAAGATGTCGAAACTCAACTGAAAGCGTGCGACTCTTGCCAAAGGAACAAGGCCCGGACAAGTAAGACGCCAGGAAAACTCCAGAGCAATCCAATACCCTACCAGCCAATGCAGTCAATTGCAATCGACTTCATTGGACCATTCCCAAAAGTGTCTGGGTACGACATGATCTTAACATGTACCTGCAGACTAACTGGTTTTGTGCGATTGATCCCAGCCTCTCAAAAGGACACGGCCGAGAAATCAGCAAGTAGGTTGTTTGGCGCGTGGTCGGCTATCTTTGGCCTCCCAGAATCTATCATCGGCGACCGAGACAAGGCGTGGACATCCCGATTTTGGCAACGTCTTCATCGCCTCTTAGGAGTACGTATCAATTTATCCACAGCTTACCACCCTCAAGCCGATGGTCGAAGTGAGAGGTCCAACAAAACAGTTGGTCAAATACTTCGACACCGAGCTGCAGAGAAGCACGGAAAATGGCTTGAATCCTTACCGGCAGCCGAGTTTGCTATTAATTCAGCAGTGAACTCAGCGACTGGAGTTTCGCCGTTTCACTTTGTTTATGGTCGAATCCCTCGCCTTTTTCCAGTCGGACTCCCATCAGAAGAAGAAGACGAAGATGTGACGCAATGGATTCAACGACGACAATCTGAATGGGCTGCTTGGCGAGACCGTCTGTGGTGTAGCCGTGTAGACCAGGCTGTGCACTACAACCTTCGGCGACGTGGTGGAGAGTCCTTCAAAGAGGGGAGCTGGGTGATGGTGGATAGCACAGATCGACAACAAGTGGTAGGAGGAAAATCAAAAGGTGTTAGCAAACTGCGAGCTCGATTTGATGGACCTTACCAAGTGTTAGAAAGCCTGAACGGTGGGCGCAATTTCCGGTTACGATTGGGGACCAACGACATGTCCTTTCCGGTCTTTCACATCTCAAAACTGAAGGCTTACCATGGCGAAGCGGAGGACTTGGAGGTTAGGGAATAATGCCCGAAAGTAAGTCACCTTCCTTAGTATGTCACCGCCGTCCTACTACACACCTTGTCAAAAACAATACCTTGGCCACTCTGTGAGCACTGCACCAATGGCTTGTCACAGTTCCACTCAAAACTACGAGGAGACGAACGACGCGGTAACGAACCAATCACGACCTTGGATTTCTTCTAATGCTTTCTTTGGCTCTTTTCTTTTCTTTTCTGTTTTGTTTTTTGTTTATTTTTTCTTCTTTGTTTTTTGGTGTTTTCAATTTTTTTTTACAACACAATCATGAGTCACAATGTGGTTTTATATTTTCAATTCTCTTTTCTTGGGACGAGTTATAGTCAGTTTAAGGGCGCGTTATGCCATTTTTTTTCTTTTTTATCAATTTCTTTTAGGAGGGTATTCATTTCTTTTAGGAAGGGAGGGTGTAAGGAGTACACACATAATCATGGCTTTGGGTTACATTATGGGTTTAGACATTTCTTGTATACATTTCATCCTCCACGCCGAACTCCAACAGTCCTCACTCTTTCGAGAGCCTTATCTGGGACTGTTTGGAGTTAGGTGAGCTCATCTCAGTTCTCTTTGTGTCCCTTCGGGGTTTTCTCTTTTACTTGTCTTTTGTTGTGTCGCTGACTCTTTCGAGAGCCTTATCTGGGACTGTTTGGAGTTAGATCCTTCGAAATATAAACCGAAGTTCCAAGTAGCTGCTCCTCGAGAGAGTCGGATCAGAGAGAATTCAGAAGCTTCAGTGAAGGTCCACAAAGACCTTACAGGTTGATGTTGATAAGATCTTTTTGATGGGGTTCTTCTTTGGGACTGCTGATTTCTTTCCCTCACCTCGATCAGGACGATTACTTCAATGGTGTTATGGAATTTGGGACAACAGTGAGTCATATTCCATCCAAGATGGCCTGGTGGGACGTGTTCATAAAGGCTTTCAAGTCCAAAAACAACATATTGATTGCCAATGTACCTCAAAAGGTTTTTCAAACCCACTTTCCTACAGTCAATAAAAAACCAGGTCGAGACAACTTACCAAACAACATTTACTTACCAGACAACATTTTACGCGGAGTTGATTGGACAATCCCAACATTGGGATGGGATGCAAAAAGCCGTATCTTCGGACCTACCTTTCTTTCAATGGTTCCTATCATTCTGGTTCCATTTTTTTCGATCTGTGCTGTCTTAGTTGGATCTTATAAAAGGTTTATCTCATCACCTCTTCATTTAAATGAACCTATTCAATTCAATCCAAATGATATGACACAGATCATTTGTGTTGCTTGTGCTGGTAATCTTTCTGAAAAGTTTTCTCAAATGTCTGTCAATCAAGTGGGAAAAAGTTGTACAGAGAAAGATTATGATCAAGTTCATGTCCAGTTAAACTATGATGATGATGCTCATGGTAGATTGATATGGATGGAACCTCAAAGAGTTTGACCTCTTGACAGATTTGATTTGTATAGTAGAATCATATTCATAACCGTACAAATTTAGGATACTCTCATGAAACTTATTTCTCTTCTCTTCCTATATTGTCTCCAATCTTTTTCAATCAAATTTGCACAATTATTTTATGTCTGTGGACAAACTTTTCAATCCAATAAATTGACAATTGCAATTCTCAATATTCACTATGCAAGACATGCCCGAGCTTTCAATCTATTCACTTCTACCTGATATGTACCAAAGTCATAGCGGAGACCAGCTAATTATAAAAGTGTTTGAGGTGGGTCTCAGGAGCAAGCTTTACCCTTCCAATGAACCATGTATATACCGAGTATCAACTGCTTCAAAAATATTGTGTGTCAGGGAACAGAAACCACCAAATACAAGGTGGGTCACCATAACCCAAGGTATGATAAGCTTGGAGAGATCGTGGGATCTACATCATTTCATCATTTTCAAATCAGAAAACATCGACGGGAGAGAAGCTGAAAATATATGGAAAGAGTTGTCAGCATGCGTATATCACTCCCAGCAGAACCAAGTTGACAAGAACACAACTGAAGGAAATTCGAAAGTTTTGAAAAAAGTGTTAGTAATACAACAGGTTCAAGAAATTGTGATAGATAAAAGAATAGAATCTGATAGAGAATGATGTTACCTGTCGGGTTCTGAACACAACAAAATGAATGATGATCATTCATGATACTTTTCACATGGTGTAAATAAAGGGGAGGAGTGCAATAGTAAGACATTCATCAGGAAGCAGCATCTGGGAAGGGAAGAAGGACATCTCTTGTGGAATCTACAATGGTCAAACATGTAATTAAAAAACAAAACTTCTTCCTCAAACACATAAACCAAACTCTATGATCATGTTCAATTTTAAATGTTTTGATTATTGTACAGCTGATAGACCTATATGTGAAAGCGTACTTATGTGAAAGTGTACTCTTTGGTTTTCATTTGCATCAGCTCTGATTGAAGATATGAGTGCAAGAAAGCACTCTCAAGGATTTTTCTAGTTTGACCTTCAAGACTTATGTTTTGAAAAAATGTGTTCTATAAGGTTCCAGAATGCCAGAAACCTGAGTTTCAAAGTGTTAAACCTCAAATGTGAGATTCTGATGCTATGTACATTGTTCCAGAAATTTTCAGAAAAATGGTATTGTATAATTGTAGATTACCCCAAGCCCGCAACGGTAATATATAGTCCAATACGTCGGGTGTAAGGAGATTCGGGAAGGGTAGAGACCCAAGGCCTCTCAGGCCGGGCAACCACATGGTTGTGGTGTTTTGTGTTGAGACTAGAGAGGAAAAAGTTTTCCACTCCAGAAACGCCCTCCTGAGGTCTCTTCTCTTTCCGACATCTCTCTCTTTCATTTCCTAGTAATAGCATCTTTCTAGATTTTAGCTAGAAAGAAAAAAACTTTTCTTTAAATTCATAGTCACTCTTCTACATATATTTACGCTCTGCAGACCTTACTTGGCTATAGTCAATCCAAAAGCATTTTTGCTTTCTACATGAACAAAAGTCAAATCGAGAAATTGATTGGAAGCAAGTTAAATCGTCAAGAAATGGTTACATCGGCAAGACAAGAAGAGGAAAAGAAGTTAGCTAAACAGATGAAAGAGAAAGATCAAGCAGAAGAACGTCAGAAGCGTGCCAACTCTCGTGCACCAAGATCAAAGCCTCAAGAGTCAATTCGAGTGGACCGGGCAAATATGCAAGGAGATACAGACTATCAAATCTCTCCGGTGAGCGAAGTAGACGAAGAGGATGGAAGTGAAGATCCAGAGTCAGACACGGCGGACGTGAAGCCACTGGAACTCAAACAAAAGGAGTTAGAAAAGATGGAAAGATGGAGAGTGGAGGAAAGGCGTCAACAAGAAGCTATGAAGAAAGGGAAAGGTTCAGTGGATCAGAAAGAAGGTTTGGATCCAAAAAATAGCTTACCTATAGATGGTATGTTGTTGAACAAGTTTTTACCCACACTCTTTTTTCGTCTTCTTTTCCCTTTTCTATTCCTTTACTTTTCCCATACACTTTATCCAAGATATGTCTGTCATTCTCGAGAGGGAGGTATTAGAAGACCAAAGAATTCTGATTGAGTGTCCAATGAATGGGTGATGTTTGAGTGAAATTTGATTTAGAGTGACAAGTGGGTGTGGTGTGGTGTGGTAATCAGCAGGATTGGGGTGAGCATCTGATGGAGTTCAGCATGCCATAAGTGTGCAGCAAATTCAATTTCTGGGTCTGAAATCATATTAAGTTGGTTCAAGTAGCCCTTTTACAGCCCTTTTTTAAGTTTTACATATAGTTCGGGCCTTTAAATTTTAAGTAAAAATTAAAGTTGGTGAACCACCTTTAGAGGTGGTTCACCAATTTGTGATCTGCTAAGTGGTCTTAAAATTTATAAATCTCCACAGTGGCATTGGAAAAAAATCAGGCGTGGAGGGCAAAAAGAATACTTTTTTTATCTTTTGGTTTGTTTTGGGTGTTTCTGGATTTTAACGGTTTTTGGTGAAAAAGCCGGTTTATCTGTCTTATTTGGGACCCGGCAAAACAAACTGATCATACATTACATGACTGAACACTTCACAAGTATCTCGTGGTGCCTCAAAGACATCTTTTCATTAAAACAAATTGATGAAAAAAAATATTTCCTGACAAAAAGAAGAGGCGTCAAAAAAAGAGACAAAAAAAGGGTCCATAGATTTTTACACTCAACCCTTTTACACTCAATAATGAGTGTAAATGTGCAGATTACACGAGTGTAAATGCATTTTTACACTCAATCCGGCCAAATTCCTGGAGTCCAAACCTTTTGTATGTAAATGGTTGTGTGTAAAAGTTTAGGGTGGCCTAACATACTTAGAATTTTACACACAATATTTTTACACCCAATGTGGTGATCAATTTATGGGATCAATTAACAAATTCATAATTAGCAGTTTACCAGTTTATTAGAAGGATTCAGCAGGACAGAAAATTCAAAATGGAGGTTTTTGGATCAATTGAAGCTCTTGTAGGCTTATGTATTGGTCATAAGGTTAACATTACATCATTTTATTTCACATTACTTATTAAGATCATTATAGTTCATTCACAAACTCATTACAAAAAGAAAGAAAGAAGAACATAAGAAAAATTCAAAAATATAGGTACATAGGTTGGAAAATGGTTTTTAGGTGAGTAAAAATAAAGTTATGGGTATTATGAGGTTAGAATATGAAAGAACAACATTATATTATACTATGACAATTTTAATCTTGAAGGTTGATAAGGAGAAACAAAAGTTATTAGGGAAAAGGCACTTTTTCGAAGTTGGTAAACAAGAGCTACACATGTAGTTTGGTTATGGAATAGTGGTAGTAGTGGAATTTAAGGTTGCCAAGAGGATTTTCCGGGATTTTTAAGGTTATAGAAGATGATTTCTTATTACATGAGCAAGAAAAAGAGAGTAGCAGCTGTCAAAAGTGAAGAAAATGGGTGAATTTCGTGGAAAATGAAGGTTTTCAGCTAATTACATATGTCAAATGACGTCAGAATAGGTTGGTAGATGGCTCATTCAACGCAGAAGAGTGGATTACATAATGTACAGTGGGTCTCATCAAAGCCCAACTACCCCGCGCCCGCAAAGCAAAATTTCAAGTTCGAGATGAATTATACACACCTCATAATTACATAGCACACATTTTAATAAGCTTAATGGGCTCGGAGGACCTATCTCATTCTAATCCTATGAGGATGGATGCGTGCAAGGCAAAAAAATTTTTTTTTAGACATTTGGGCAATATTTCGAACCAAGCACATTTAAACACATCCTTAGGCTTACTATATGGGTACCAGAGGGTAATATATGGCTTTAAACTTGGTAAAAGTGGGTTCCCAAAGCGGAATCCAACCCCAGATCAGTCAAATCGCACGGTGAAAATGACTTTTTTCACTGATTTTCGAGGTCCTCAGAGGCCAAAATTTCGAACCCCCCCTACGGGGGGGTAGTTGGGCTTTGATGAGACCCACTGTACAAACTTTAAATCAATAGTAGCGGAGGTGTATGAAAAAAGTTATAAGGCAAATAAGGAATTGGTGTGAATCTCAAATTTACAGTCACAAGTCAACATGTAATGATCAAAACCTTAACTTCACAACTCAATATCTTACTCATCAGTCATCAGAAATAAGTCATATGGGTTTCAGAAATGATCAGTAACACGAGGGCTACAAGATGCACTTTAGTAATCAAAAATTGGACCACATCTGAAAAAATTTGTAATCTCAAAAATTGGTTTTCAGCTAGTTTACAAGGAAAGAATCACCTGTATTCATCATAAGAAGTGCTGTACATCATATTATTGCGTCATTGATCACTTTTGGCTGTGAAAATTACATCATTTATTAGTAACAAAATCATTACATTGCGTCATCATAGGGTTTTTAGGGATTTCTGGGCGGATTTGATTGGTTTTGAGGCTGTTGACCATTGTAAAAGTTGGAGCACATTGTTATATATACTTTGAGAGGGTTTTGGGAATGTTGATCCCCTTTTTTCTTTATCATTTACGCAGTTATTATTTTGTTTATCATTATAAACTTATTTTAATAGTACCCGGTCACTTAAATACGCCCTTTATTACAATCATAAAGAGAAATTTACTTTAGTTTTATAGTCACAAAGACTCATAGGGAATAATATCAATAAGATATTGCTTGTTTCTTCAGTTATTATTTGGGAATAACACTATAGCAGTGTTGATAGTAATAAAAATTGTGCTTTTGAAGTTAAAATACGTGTGAAGATACATTTCTCTGGTGCCTTATCAGTACTCAATACAACAGAGCCTTTCCTGACTGTGTTGTTTTAGAAGAGCAGTCTCAGACAACTTCTACTAGTCCTTATATTAGTAGATTATCCTCTTCCAGCTCTGTATAACCCTTGTTGGGTTATAAGTTCTACACTGATATGTAGTGTAAAAAAATACAGTGTAAAAATAGGTATACACCCTCAAAGTCCAATTTTACACCCCATCAGATTTACACCCAACTTTGGATGTAAACCTTTGGAATGCAAACTTCCAGAAGATTCCCCCTTAAGTTCAAATTTACCCCCCATTGACAAGATGTGCAATCGTCAATACCCAATATGCCCAATTGCCAATTTCCAAGTGGCACCTCACCAAATACTGCAGTGGTGCAGCTTAGACACTGCCCAACCTTTCTCCTCACCCTTCAATCTCCACCACTACCGCCGTATCAGCACTCCTCACCCTTTCACCACTACTGCAACCCTCTTGCACACAGTGTTCTCCGTCCAATACTCGGCCAACTCCAACAAATGACATCCTCATCTTGCCCCCTTAGGCAGTTCTTCAAAATCCATCAAATGATCACAACAATTCTCATCTGGTCTCATTGTCCTCATCTTGACACTTCATCATTCTCAGACAACCTTTTAGAATCTCCTTAGACTCAGCAAGGATGAGTCTCCTGCGTAAACCACCTTGTTTACTCAATGGACTACCCCAACCAACTTGCCCTCCAAGTTGTTGGACCCCATCTGCAGGCTCTGATATCACCTGGCCAGGACAAGACATATTTGTCACCGTTACAATATTTCAAATCATCTGACTTCATCAGATTTATCAAATTTATCAAATCTATTGTGTTCTTGCAATATCCTGATTTTTTCAATATCACCCAATCTGCTGTTCTCATCAAATCGCTTACTTTGATCAATCCAATAACCACCAATTCCATTACTTCAATCACAACTACCCTCCTGAATTTCTGTTCCTTGTCGTTTCTGATATGAGTCAATTTAAATACGCCAGTTCCGTGGTTAGTTCAGACTGTGACAATGAACCCCAGACCACACCTAATACCGTCGACCTTATGTCAACCCCACCCGTCAAGAACACACCTGCCACCAGCTTGAAGAAAGCCAAACACAAGAAATCCAAGAAGCAAGGGAAGAAGTTCAAGACTCCGGTCCCGGCTAGTGGCAAACTGGCCACCTTTATTGATCACGGGTCTATCTGCAACAGTGAAGGCTATTCAATCTACCCAAATGGTGAGACCGTTTTCGTCCGACAACCAGATCAGGAAGTTACTAACTTCGGCCTTGTCGCGTATCGTCACACCCAGAAGACCTGTGTTGCGAAGGACGGATCTGGAGCTTGGAAGACCATCTGGCATTCATGTCTTGGTGTTCTTGAATGTGACAACAATGACTGTGATTACGCCGCACCACCTCCAACTGCCAAAGGAAAAGCAGCCCAATTGGTCTTGGAGTAAGTCATTTCAATGTATCTGTATCACATTCTCGCAACACCTTATACCTAATCCTCATCACTAATAAATGTTACTCGGTTCAGCCATCCCACCTGTCCTGGTGCAGAGTGTGGTGGCAATCACATTTGGACCCAACACTGCCAGGATTAAACACTGTCCTAATTGGGATAATTTGTTGCTTTTTTGGGATAATTAATTTTTGACATATAAATGCTAAGCAATTAATGCAAAAGTTATCATTATTCCATTAGGGAAAGTGTTTAATCCTGGCAGTGCAATGTCATCAATCTAGCTGCCGAGTCAATGTTGAGAAGGCAACTTGTTGGGGTGTCCTTTGTCACTCGGGCATCCCCAACCACGCCTGGCCAACTGCAAAAAAGGCTGATCTGTTGGCCATGCAAGAGCTCACCAAAGAGGTGGTTCGGAACCCAAAGGCTGGCCCTTTGGTCTTGAAGGTAAGTCAACACTTTCACTTGCATTGTGTTTGTGTTGATTCTATGCTGACGCGGTCAAATTGTTTCCTCAACCTCATATTAGGTTGGTCAGGCAGGTGCCGGACAGACCATCACTCTGCCAGTGGTCGAAATACACCCAGTGTTTGGCAGCGGGGGTCGCTTAGCGTATTTACGTCAAAAAGTACTTGTTGAGAAGGGTCTTATGCCCAAAAAAGAAAGTAGGGGAGGTGGGGATAGGTTTGTACTGGACCTCATTCATTGGGCCAGGTAAGTAGATGCATTTTTGAATTGGGATGATCCAACTTCTTGATGTCTTGGTCTCGTTAACTTTTGCCTTGCAGTCACGGACTTTGACTTGTGTCTAGGTCACTACTACGCACAAATATGCACATTACCTTCCAATCCGAGTGGATGGCGGAGCAGCTACTTCTTTGGGATCCATCAGGCCATGCCTATTCTGGGGGACTTCTCTCCGATGTTACCTACAGATTTTTCCGCAACGGGTATCTCCTCTCCACTTCGATGTACAGCAACGTGATGCATTGCTGGATCCCAATCCAGCTTACCTGGATGTGGGGACTTGACATCACACACTATCAAGCCCATTTCACCACTTTGATTCAACAAATTAAATCAGCTAAATTGACGTTTCATGAGCAGGAACTTCTGGTTCAACAAGTCGTGGATTTCTCTTCCGCTCAAAAGAAGGGGTTTATGGCTGCTTACATGGACGTGTTTAACAAATTGGATCCCTCAAAAGCTTTGAGTAAGTTGAAGGGGTGTCATGAACACTACCGTCAGTCAATCACCCAAATCAAGAAGAACTGTAATGTAGTGAACACTAGTCACTTGGTGAGTTTCCATTCCCTGATGTTAAAGATTTCTCACTGACACGCTGCTTCTGTAATTATGCACCCATCTCATAGGCTGACTTCGAAAGGATGGTGCTCGATTTACTTGAACCAATCAAGCCGGGGGGTGTGGTAATCAATCTATGGGCCAATAAAAAAAAAATAAAAAAAAATCGAATTTTGAATTACATCAATTATATTACATATAGTTTAATATTTATATCATTTTATCATTTAAACAACTACTTTAATATCAGTATAAATTATTAAGAAACAGAATCATAAAAAGAAACAAAGAAAAAATAAGAAAAAAACTTGAAAATAGAGGTCTACAGGTTGGAAACGGTTTTTAGGGTATTAATATTAGGTTTATGGGTTTATTAGGGTTGGAGTATGAAAGAGGAGCATTATGTCAGTCAGTAAAAACTTTAATCTTGGTGGTTGATAAGAGAAAATAGAAGTTATTAAGGAAATGGGAACAAGTCAAAGTTGGTAAACAAGGGTTTACAGGTAGTTTTACATATGTAACAGTGGTATTAGTAATGAATAAGGTTGCCAAGAGTGTTTTTAGGGATCTTCACGGTTGGAGATTACTGTTCAATTTTACAGAAGGAAAAAAAGCTTAGTAAAAGGTGTGTAAAGTGAAGAAAATGGGTGAAAATAGTCGAAAATGAAGGTTTTCAGCTGATTACATGTGTCAAATGACGTCAGAACATGATGAGTAATAGTTCATTCTACGCGGAATCATCAAATTCATAATGTACAACCTTTAAATCATTAGTAACAGAGGTATATGACAAAAGTTATAAGGAATCAAAGGATTTGATTACACATCAACAAGATCACAAATCATTAATAACCAGCAATTACATCATTGAAATGCTGATTCATCATAAGATCAAATCAATACTCATTCTAGAACATTCAAAACACAGCATATACACAGCATTTGATCATAAGAATAGGAATTAGTCATGTTTTACTGGTCAAATTAGTAATAAATCTTATCAGATGATGAATAGAAGATCACACTACATCATAGTAATGATCATAATGGGTTAATGAGCTACAGATGGCAAAATTTAGTAGTGTAGAGAGTGGTTGAATCATTAGATCATAGCTGTTTACCAACATTTTAGTCATCTTTTGGTTTTTTAGATGGTAAAGAGGATTTTTAAGAGCTGTTTACCACTTTAACAATTTGTATTGATGTGTTTATAAACTTGTGTCCTTTGTGCGAAATTATTTTTCCTTTTTTCTTCATCTCTTACATAGCAGGTCACTCAAACCAGCCCTTCATCAGAGGAGAAATTTGTTTTAACAAGTTTTGGACGTGAATAATCCGAATGTTAGTCATCTGTGACTTTATGCTCTTATCATGGACTTGGTTAAAGGGTGATTTCTTGGGTCAATAATGGTCAGATATAGCTCTGCCTGCCTCGGTATTTCCGGTTCTGTTTAATGATGGGAGTATGCTTCCTCTTTAACAGGCCATCTTGGCTTCTACTTAACTTGTGGTCAGATTTAGCTCTGCCTGCCTCAGCCTCTCTGGAACGCCTGCTTTTTGGGCGTATTGGGCTAAATCATTCAATAATCAGGATGTAGCTCCTGCCGCCTCAACGTATTTGTTGGCGCCCTCAGTACCCTTTCCACACTTTCGTGCGGTGAGATCTATCTCTGGGTTTGAAGATGATAAAGGGAAAGGGAAATTGAAGATAAGGATGAAGTGGTGTGGCTCTCACAATTTATTCGTATTTTCAGTCCACCTCTAGACTCTGCCGCCTGCTCTGGTGGTCTTTCATTCCTCCTGTCTGATTCCTCGTCATCTTTGTTTTCTCCTTCTTCTCCTTCATCTTCCTCCCCTTCATCCTCTTCTAGGTTTTTTCCTTCCACTTCTGGTGTCTCCGGTGCAAGGATTCTTGCTCCACCTTTGTCTTCCACTCTTCCTTCACGGTTCCAGGAGTGACTCCTTGTTCCCGCTCTTACTGTTCCCTCTCTCAAGGCTTCTTCTGCCAATCGTCTTGCTTCTTCCAATGTTTTGTCAAATGTAGCCATCTGTTTTGTTTCTTCTGTGTTCTTTTGGAATTTAAGTATTCTGAGAGAGAGAAAATATTTTTAGTGATGAAATATGACTTTACAAAACTTGAGAGGAGCTGAGTTGTGTCGATGGCAGAATGCTCATCTAGCGGGAAATTGGAGTTGTGGAAAATTTCTATATATATTTTCCTGCAACTCAATTCTGGGAAGAGGCGCACGCGGGTTACCTTGCTACAAGCATATTCTGACATCTATACACAACATCCTATTTCATGGAACTCCGCACCAAGTCTTGCCTTGGTCGGTGCTCACACTGTCATTCTGGAATAATATCAAAAAGATATTGAGCTTTTTTTTAAATGACGAGATACCCAAACCCATGCTTCCGGATACCACCAACGGACAAGAATTGATGCATAGGCAGTACTACATCTTAACGTAAGTTGTACTCCCATATCTCTCCTTATGGTTTCATTTTTTCAATGCTACATGCCACAATGTTCTGATGGATTGGTGTGGTGCTTTTCTAGGTCCGGCAATTGTACAATTATTCAAGAGTTTGTCCAGATATTACTCTTTGTTGAATCTCTGAAGAAGGACTTCCACCAGCTTCAGCGTGGGATTCCGGTCAAGTATGGCTCAAGTTGGGATTTGGTGGTGGAAACCATGGGATGGTCGAAAGAGCGCACCCGGTGCCAAGCCGACGTCAATGATTGCCAACCACCAGACACGACCGACGCGCTCCTTTGCCCCAAGAAACTCAGGCGCCCAACTGGCTCTTGCAACGTCAATCGTGATCCTTATTTATCATATCAATCCTCCTCAGCAAGTAATGACCTCCGCAAGCGAAATCATTGCTGGGAAACAGCTGCTATTGAATCTTTCTTACCAAATTTTAGTCCTCTGTGGATCCAGGGCTCAAAAGGCAAGGGGAAGGATGTCACTTCAAAACTCATTCGTCATTATCCATCCAGACTTTCGGCCGAGATGCATTGGTCCTCTCATCTCAAATCAGTCTTATCTCGTGGTCTTAAGTCAGTCCAAACTGTGGTTCAACTTCTATCCCCTGAGTCTTTTATCACCAACAATTTCTGTTCAGCCAACTTGTTCATTGACTACCTGCTTATCTCTAAACGCAATGTGCCTACCTCTGCTGGTTGTCACTTTGCTTACAAGCTGATTTGAGACTTTCAATGCAGCAAGTTTCCTTCACATCAAGAGTCACAGACCGACGTCAAAGCGACTGTATCTATCACTGCGGATCTATTTCACAAAGCTAACCTTCAATATTCTGATGTGAGCACGCTAGTCTCTCGTTGGGAATCCGAGGGACTTTTCTCTACAAGCGCTCAGTGCTGCCCAACTTGTCTTACTGACCACCGTCAGCAACCTACGTCAACTCAACCGGACGACTCTGTTGAGGTGAACTGTCTCGACATCAACCCGGCCAGAGACGTGCCTTGGTTGTATGAACGCATGCAATTGGATTTCACTCAAGCCCCAATCAACATTTACTTTCACCTAGCCCGCGCCGCGGGTCTTTCCAAGGACAATTGTACCAGGTTCATGGGTGAGATGATTTGGCCTGAGTCATTCACCCTCAACCAGACTGAATACACCATTGTTTTGCAAGGTTTTTGGGGGTTCAATCATTACTGGTGTAAACTTGTAAGACATCTTGATGGAGGTCAAGGGGTTTGGCACTATGATGATTGCAAGGATGACGGCCGTGCTCAGCTACTTGGTTGGGACCTTGCAATAATTGCAGGTGCCCAACCTTGCACTAGTTGGGTGGTTTACTCACGCAAGCCGACCACCAAGGAACAGAAGATCATTGACATTGGGGTGGCTAAGATTAAACAGAGCAATCCAGATTTGGTTGGCGACATTCCTTTTGTATCAGCTCAGGACTTGGATGGTGTAGAAGAACAGATCGTCAACGACTCACCTGCCACCAATGTTGCTTCCCTCCAATCAGGTCCCATGAATAATGCTAAGCAGGCATTTGAATCTGGTGAGTTTGAATATTTATGCTCTTCAATCCCTTTGCTGATACTGATGTACGGCATGTGCGACTGCAGTCAATACTAGTTACACCTTTGACTCAAACCAACTTGAGACTAAGTCTTGTTCTGACAACGGCAGTGATGATCTCCCCAAGATGGAGCCTCTGTCCAAGGCATGTGGATATATGCCAAATGACCCCGTAGTCCAATCACCCCCGACTGAGCCTGTCAAAGACAGTCTGAAGCTTCGCCTCAATATCAAGCGACCAGCCCCAGCTTCTAGCCCAATCAAGTCCGTGTTGCCATTGCCTCAGAAACTCAGGGTTGTGAAGAAGTCTTCTAGAAGGCCACCTAAGTCCAGGAAACGTGCCGTTAACAAAGAAGGAGAAATCTCAGTGGAAGTCACCAAACCTGTAGTGAAGGTTGAGCCTAAGGCCAAATCTAAGGTCAAGGGGGAAAGAAATAAATAGTTCCTTTATTTTTGCTTGTGAAATTTTCTTCAAAAATCTACTCATGATCATGATCGCAAAGGTAAGCGCGGGAGTCATTTTACTTTTTCTCTTTTATGATCTTTCTCTGTTTGTACCTTGTGTTTTGGGCAGCCTTTGATGAAATGGTATACATGGGTCAATTAAGCTGTGGATAGATACCTTCCTTGCACTGAGGAGACAAACACATTTGAGAGAATTTGAGACCAATTCCAAATATGTGTGAGGAGACAGACACATTTGAGAGACTTTGAGATAAATTGCAGATATGTGCAGTTTTTCCGCTAAGTCACAAAGTTGCTTTGATGAGTGTAAAATTATAAGCATGGCACATGTGCTTACATATTTGCACTCCTCAACTTTACACTCCATATTGAGTGTAAGAGTCATTGAGTGTAAAATTAGACATTTAGGGTCTATAGCAATTTTTACACTGTATTTGTTACACTACATGTTGAGTGTAAAAATAATGAGTGTAAAATTGTAGGTAGATGGAGTAGGGCTATGACCTGGCCCTGGCCCTGCCCGGCCGAGGCTGCCCGAGGGATTGATTGATCAAACCGGGGCCACGCCCGGGGCCTGAGCCCTAACCCAGTGATAGAGACAAAAGCCCTGCCACGGGCCGTCCGGGGCCGGGGCCGCCGGCCAAATGTTTATGTACGGCAAAGGGTCAAGGGCTTGTTGAGTGACCATCTACCCTTTGCCGTACCCCTGGACCCTGATAGTAGATACCCGATTGGCAATACCCAATCCCCCTTATAAACCACCTCTCAATGTCTCGTCGAAGTCTTCGCCGCGAGATCACTGACCCCAACAACAACATGTCGACTACCTCCAGCGCTGCGAACTCTATCGCCCCATCTGATTCTGTCTCTGCTGTGGCTAGTGCAGTCGAATCAGAGACTACTGCCACCAACCAAACGTCATGGGTGTGGCAGTACTTTTTGACTGTCACATTCCCAGACGGATCTGTCAGGAACATATGCCGTGCCAACAAAGGCTTTACTGACAACGTCAATCAAGATGGTCCTGTGGTAGTGTGTGAAGCAGAGATGGCGGTCGATCCCACTTCCAGCACCAAATCCATGATTCGTCACCTCTCACGTGCTCACCACATCGTAGCTCTGATCGACACAGCTCAGAAAACACTTACATCCTTCCAGTTACTGGAAAGGCTTCTAACGTAAGTTTTATATTTGATCTTTTTCTTCTCATCATCAATCTGGCTGATTCTTGTTCTCTTTTATTTGTCAAGATGACCAAGAACTCCCAGTATCTCTTGCCGATGCCCCAGCCTTCCGTGATCTCTTGGTCTGGATCAATCCTGCCGTCGCTCCTATCCTTTGCAAACAAACCGCCATCACCAATGATATCCTTGCTCAATTTTGTCTATCTCACAATAGTCTCACTTCCCTTTTCTCTAAATTTGAATATATCAGTCTTACGTGTGATGCCTGGACATCACCCAGCAGTGTACCAATGCTTGGCATTACCGCGCACTGGATGACCGAGGAATTCCAAATGCAATCAGTGGTTTTGGCTTTGAAAGAGATCGATGGGGCTCATACCGGTAAAAACATTGCTTCCCTCCTCAAGCACACCCTTGATCAATTCGGAATCACCAACAGACTCTACTGTATCACGGCTGACAATGCCTCAAACAATCTCACCATGGGACGCGAGCTCAAGAACCTCATTCCTCATTTCGATCCTGAGAAGAACCTACACGGGTGTGTGGCCCACGTCATCAATCTCGTCGCCAAAGCTGGAATATCAATATTCGACAGCAAGAGCCCTCCGGACCCTCTCAGCGCTTTGGATCCTCAGCTACCTCAAGATCAAGAAGATGCTGTTCCTGACGGTACCAATTCTTTAATCAAACCTACTCCTCATCTCGAAGTCCACTCCATCTTGACTTGAATCCGCGGCTTCCATAAAAAAGTCCGTTTGAGCACTCAGCTCAAACAGGCTCTGGATCAATGCATTGCCTCTTCCTCACAGCCTCGAAAGGTTGGATTGATCCACGAGGTTTTGACTCGATGGTCTTCAACCTTTTACTCTCTCGAGCGTTTCTTTGAACTCAAGAAGGTCCTTCAGTACTATTGCAACATTAACGAATTGTTGGAGCCTTACCTCCTGACCAAAGACGAGTGGATCTTGATCGGCACCTTAGTCAAGTTTCTCCGACCTCTGGCAATCGTGATCAAGGAGATTGAAGGCGATGACTATCCCACCTTCTCACGAGCGATGCCTGACTATCAGTGGCTTGTTGAAAAACTCGAAAAAGTAAGTCTAACTCTCTGTTTTCATATTAATTTGTTTGTATTACAAAATCTCTGACTCATCTTTCTACCAAACATAGGCATGGAGTACTTCTGACTGTACAAACTTGAAGGCAGCAATTATCCCTATGGTCAAGAAACTAGTTTGCTATTCCACCTTAGCTTTGAAAAAACCTGTTTACATATGTTCCCCAATTCTGGACCCTTGCTAAAAGCTCACTGCTGTGACTGGTTTTACCATGGAAGAGCTTGGATTTGACAAGGGCCAACTCATTGATTACTTTACCGAGCAAGCTCGCAAATTCAAGAAGCCTCAAGATCCTGATATCAAAGTTGTTGAACCGGACCCTGTGCTCGATAATGATGATGATAGACCACACCACTTTGTAAAACATCACAAATTCATTCAAGTTGAAGATGAAGTAAGGGAGTATCTCCTTGCCCCTCTTGTGGATGAACATACACATATCTTGATGTTTTGGAAGACCAATCACACGAACTGGCCAATTTTAGCTCGGATGGCTTGGTTCATGCTTGCCATCCCTGCTTCTGGTGGGCCTTCAGAAAGAATCTTCTCTGCTGGATCAAGAGTGATGTCAGATTATCGATCAAGTATGACCAATCAAAATTTCGAAGCTCAGATTTGTCTCAAGTCGTGGGGGTTTGTTTTGAGCTCGTAGTTTTTTTTCTCGACTCTCCTTCATGATAGTTTTTTATATATTTTCTCTACTCTCCTTATTGGTAGTACTTGTTCTTTATTTCTATACGCTCCTTTGTTTGGTCTTTTTTGTTTTGTTTTTGTTTTTCCTCTCCTTACATGCGGAATTGAATGAATTGTGCCCTTGACTTAGCTCACAAAAGGCTGGCCCGAGCCATTCCCTGAAGGCTGGCCCGAGGTTGCCCGGTAGCTATCTCAAACAACTCGTGTCCGAGGTCGGGTCTGCCTCGGCCCCGGGGCCGGCCCCGTAGTCGCAGGGCCGGGTCATAGCCCTAAGATGGAGCCACCCTACACTTTTACACACAACCATTTACATACAAAATCTTTGCACTCCAGGAATTTGGCCCGATTGAGTGTAAAAATGCATTTACACCCATGTAATCTACACTTTTACACTCATGTCTCTTTACACTCATTATTGAGTGTAAAAGGGTTGAGTGTAAAAATCTCGTAACCCATTATATAGTGCTTCAAGGAAAAGCACCTTGTGCTTTTGAAAAAGCATCAAAGGACAAGTTGAAAGCAACCCGACCTTTGAAATGGATTTTCAACCATGAAAGTTCAATTGTACACTCAGCTTTTCACTTTGGGTGTAAAGCAAAGGTGTAATTTTTGAAATTGGTGGAAACAAATGGGTGTAAAATTCAATCTGAGGTGGCTCATATGGAATTTTACGCACAAATATTTTGACACTCACTATATGGTGGAAAGAATCTGGGTGGAAAATTTGATATCGCTGGCTTCGAGATCCAATTTTCCACCCTAGTTTTTCCACCTCTTGTTTTCCACTCGCAAGAAAAAATGGAAAAAAGGTGGAAAATTGCATATGACCCCCCAGGGTATGCAATTTTCCACCCCTCGGGTTTTTACACCACAAGACGGGTAGAAAGAAAAGGGTGGAAAAATCTCCCACCCCCTTCCATAGTTGTTCTTGCTACAGCTGAAATTTTGAAAGGGCTCACTAGTTTATCGGCGTACCACTCACTGACTACGTTGGAATATTTCCTTCAATTTTGAAAGAGTACTCGTGGTTCTCAATTGACTCTCTGAGTGAATGGATCAGATGGGTCTTGATGGAGGGTGATCATCACATATGACATTGGTGAACCTTCATGCTACAAGGTGTCGGTAAAAGATTTCACCATGATGATAGAGACTTGAAATGTGTACCGTGATGGTGCAGGACCGTGCGCAAAACTCAACAGCCTCCTATGGTTGAGGGTTTCCGAACATGCATGCTGAACTTGCTGAGCGCGATGAAGTTGCCTGAAGTTGCTGTGCATCTTAACAAGTCAAATAGAGTCAAATTCAATCAAGGTGAGATATCTGAGTCCGGCCGAAGCTTCAACCAATGACAGCTCAAGAGGGCATACCTCCTCACTGTTGAAGAGTTGCATATCCCCAGATCACAAATACGCCGCATCAAATCAAACATCCATCATTGAAGGCCATTATGGATTCTGAAAGCGTTGATGAAGACTCATTTTCATCTATTGCCCGCACCACAGCTATGGAAGATATTTTCACCGCCATAGAGTTACAGCCTTGGAAGAGTAAAGACGCGCGGAATATTCATCTCCCAAATTCCATGGAAGCAGACGTCGGCCACAACCCAAGAATCTTTTCACCGTTAAACACAGATGACAATGACAAATCAGAATCAGATGCAAGGTAACTTGAATTATTGCACTCATTCCAAAAGCCTTTTACCAATTTGATGAATCGCACATCAGATCCTCAAGACTGAAATCAAACTAACATATTTTCTTTCCTCCTTTTGCACAGCCCAGAACCCGATCCAAGATATATCCACTCAAAACTTCTCTCGCCGTACGCATGGTCGATCGTATTGGGAGAATTATGTGTTATGATATTTGTTACTGGTTTCATTATTGTCACAAATCTGTGTCAAGTACCATTACCACCAAGCGTAGCCCAATGGGCAAAGGATTCTCCAAAGATGAAGGCTTTTTGCGTCCCGGCGATTTCAACATTTCTTTCGGTATTATGTCCATTGTAAGTTGATATTTGTTTGTGTGAAGATATCAAATATGAAGAAAGTAACGTGGCAGCCTCTGTAGTGGGTTTTCCAAGGCAGTACTTTTTTATATGACCGCTACTTTGACTCGGAGTCCTACTTCACTCTTTGAACTTTCAGCCGTCATTGATGTTTCAAGAGCGTCATTTGTTTTTCGGAAATCTCATTTAACAATCTTGATTATGACCGTAGCTAGTATGATCGTACTAAAATCGATGACAGCCAGGTGATTAGGAATACTTGTCAACCAACTCATACCACTAGAGCTGATGAATTATTCTTTTTTCTCACCATGATAGCTTTGTCACTCTTCTGACACCATCACCCATCATGATAAGCCAGCGTATGTCAGGCCAGCAAATTGATTTAAGTGCAGCAGAGTTTGGAAAAATGTTACACGATGAGATACGCGGGGATGAAGAAGGTAAGTTTTTCTTATTGAATGTTTTCAATATCTCATTCTGATTCCACTATCGCGAAACTTAGAACCCACCCAGTCTAACGTCAGACTCATGAGGAACCTATTTGGATATATAACAATATCTAGTACAATCTCTAGTGGTATGTCAGCGGCTGGGTCTATCATCGGACATCCCGGCGTGTTCGTGTTCAACGGAGCGGCATATACGGTCCCTACTGGTGAGAATCTTTTCATTTTTTTTTTTTACAAGTTTGAGAAATTTTATGCGGTTTGATAGGGGGAATCTTGGCCGTGGGTCCAATGAGCGAAGTAAATCACGATCCACGTAATAAAGGACACTTGGTCGGAGATGACATTGGAGGTCAAAACAAAAAGCTTTATCATGTCGATGGAATAGCAAATGACACTCTCTTTAGCTCTTCAATAAACTATACAGCTTATCAAATGGGATTACGTGGAGGGGTCTCATGTAAAGCTATAGGTTCATCTGGTTTAGCAAGCTCTCGTGCTAGAATTCAACTAAAGCTGGTCAAACATTGGAACTCACCTTCGCCTCGTAATGAAAGTTTCTCTGATTGGGTTTGGAGCGGAGCTTGCCCAAATGGAACACAAATTGGTGAGCGGCCGCCCTCTAGTGGAATTTTCATCACCCCACTAAATGTCTCCTTATTTCAGATGTGCCCACCACTACCTCCCGGTACATCCCAGGACTGAGAAACAAGACAGTAGCGATTATGGGCCAAGCTGTTGCTCGTGTTTGCTTCGATCAAGATTCGACAGGTGCTAAATCAACTGGAAATCATGGTGCGCAGCATTCAATTCAAACCAACTTGTTCTGCGGACCCTGAAGCATGTTCTTTAGTTCTCATTCTGGCTGGAAACGGATCACAATACGAGTTCTTGAGGCCAACTGTGTGTGAAATACGACCAACGATTGGCACTTATCAAGTTTTGTACAATTACCCAAGTGTTACAATTAACCAAACTAGTTTTATACCAACCCATATGATGTCAGACGATACTCGGTTTCTCTCAAAGTACCTTGCCATGTTGACAAAGGTAATGGTTTCTAGCTCTCAAACTATGTGGGGAAATACCTTTGGCGATGATATCAATTCAGTGTATGACAATGCTGCTGATTGGCTCGAGGAAGACAAATTGGACACAATTCTTGTATGTTTCTTGTCAAAAAAACAATGCTCGATGTTGATAAGATCTGTTGGATGGGTTTCTTCTTCGGGACTGCTGATTTCTTTCCCTCACCTCGATCAGGACCATTACTTCAACGGCGTGATAGAATTTGGGACAACTGTAAGTCATATTCCATCCAATATGGCCTGGCGGGACGTGTTCATAAAGGCTCTCAAGTCCAAGAACAACATATTGATTGCCAATGTACCTCAAAAGTTCTTTCGAGCCCACTTTTCTACAGTCAATAATAAACCAGATCAACCCGACTTACCAAACGACATCTTAAAAGCCTTTAATGGTACTTGTATAATCTCAACAATGGGATGGGATGCAAAAAGCCGTATCTTCGGACCTACCTTTCTTTCAATGGTTCCTATCATTCTGGTTCCATTTCTTTCGATCTGTGCTGTCTTAGTTGGATCTTATAAAAGGTTTAAATCATTACCTCGTCATTTAAATGAACCTATTCAATTTAATCCAGATGATATGACACAGCTCATTCGTGCTGCTTGTGCTGGTAATCTTTCTGAAAAGTTTTCTCAAATGTCCGTTAGTCAAGCAGGACAAAGTTGTACAGAGAAAGATTATGATAAAGTTCATGTTCAGTTAAATTGTGATGATGATGGTCAGGGTAAATTGGTATGGATGGAACCTCAAAGAGTTTGACCTTTTGAGAGATTTGATTTGTATAGTAGAATCATATTCATAACCGTACAAATTTAGGATACTCTCATAAAACTTGTTTCTCTTCTATATCATTCAGAGGAAGTTAAATATCAAGCCTAGGTCCCTGAGGGTAATGCTAGTAAATCATATCCAATAAAGAGGAATGTGCAGTAAGTTCGAATAGTACAAATAAAAGTTATAGTCACTTGAACTTCAAGCTTACATTCGTAGTTGTTTCACCATCACTTTGAGTGAGTTGAGAAATTTCAATCTTGAAAGAATTCAAGAACTGTGGTGATGGATAAGTTATTATATCTCGATTTGATTTCCCTACAAAACTAGAGACTTTGCAATTCGAAAAACGTTTATTTTGAGTTTATCATATACCGATGAACCTTTTAACTGATAACAGATATAAAATATTCACAAAATGAGAGAACATAAACTCGACTTATGATACTGGTTGAGCTTCTCCAGATTAACGGGATTCTTTTTACTAATTGTGGGTTAGGATGCTGAGGAAGTATTGTAGCTATTTTGCCATGGAGGAAGAGATACACCAGTACATATCATTATCAGTAGGTTTGTAAAATATGATGTAATTGGTCACTTGAATCTAGACTCACTTAAAGTCACCACTGCCAAACCAACCACCAATAAGGTTGTGAGCAAGAAAGTCCTGACAAAAACCCGATCAAAGAGTCAATCTTCGATTTGATAGAGAGATGAATCTAAGAGATGTACCTGAAAGTAAGAAGAAGTAAATTCCGTACCACGGTTCTCATCCTTTTACCCAAGTCAAGACATCCAGATCGAATCAAATGAAACGAAATCATGAAACAAATAGACCCATCAAAAAGCATATTACCACCGCAGTAAGAAAGAACGAAAAAACGAGACAAGTTCCGAATTACTGGGTTTTTAGAATCAATTGCAGTTGCTATATCAAAACGTCCTTTAGTGGTGATCACAAAGATGATTATACCGATAAAAATGCTTGTCATGAAGATTGTAAGAAATGAAGCTACTACAAGCCAACATGTACGCCTTTTGATCATGAAGTAGACTAAGGTAGAGTAATGGATCCTGATTCAATAATGATTTGTGGTAAAGAGAAAGTCAGTTCGGGTTCATACCTCAATGAGACTATAAGATATCATACTTACTGGACTAAAATTACGCTTACAATCACAGAGAAGACTTGTGTGATATTCAGCCCGAGGTTCAACTTTGTACCCATCACACCTGACGTAGCACACCAAGCCGCCTAGATTCATCCACGTACATCAGTCTGGGTGTTGAAATGAATCAGATAAGCATTTGCATAAGGAATAATTGACCCCAAATTCGGCAAAAACCTGAGCAGCGTGTAAGATGACCAAGAGACAAGCAAAGATAGAAGATGATTGTTTATTTGGTACATCGTGGAGAAAGTGCGCAAACTTGGCAAAGATGTATCCACTGATGAATAGAAACACGGGCTATAGCGATATCATATTCCACGGCGGGAAAAAAGAATTCGGAAGACACGTTAGCTGCTTGAAAGACTTCACCCTCATTTGAAAAGTGTGGAAAGACAGAAACCGATAATGATTCAAAGGAGTACAGTGATTCTTACCTCTGCGACGGTGATTCCAAGGATGGTCGAGGTTGACATGGGTTTATGGAAAATGCGCAAGTGAAATCTTTGTGATTAACAACAGGTACGTAACAATGACCAAAAGAGGCGATATAAGTGAAGCAAACGCTATTTCGTTTGGAGCTCAATAGATTATTAAAAGTTTGGAGATTTTGATGGCCATGACTCAGAAACTTTCATTCCGAGCAATTGCGACTCCTATGAGATATTTGACCGATTCTTGCTGTAAGGATGTGTTAAGGACATATACAGCATGGGTTTAGACGGGTTCAATCTATTTACTCTCACTAACCCTGGCTCCACGTTGGGTTCTCTTCTCTTCACGAACCCCGACTGGAGCTAGGTAAGAGTCATCTTTATTCTATTACATTTCATCTTATATTGTTCTGATTTTGATTCTGTTCTCTTCACGAACCCCGACTGGAGCTAGCTAGACAAATTGTAACGCACACAAGAGTTCTAGATTACGCTTCCAGTGGTTACTGAACCACCGTGAGAGATCCTGAGAGTTTAGTGAAGGTTCTTTCCTACGAACCTTACACTTTTTTAATCTAGTCCTCACAACCTTATTCTTCTTTGACAACTGATTGCCCGTGACACCCTGACAACTTGAACAATTTTCGACTCTTTATCTTATGCCCTTCAATTTGCCCAGCAATTTTTGCACAAACCCTGACGCCTTTCTACGAAAACCTCGACCTTCTGAACCTACTGAATCGCCACCTGCACCCAACCCACCTAGATACAACTGGCCTATTGAAGGGGAAGACATTGATACGCCTGAGAAGACCATTCGAACAATTATCCCTTCATCTTCGCATACCTTGACTTCTGAGAATCAACCTGACTCGACGCTTACCCCTGACGCGCGGATAGTCCGCGATTTTTTCAATCGAGCACATCTAGCGACTCCTTTGTTACCAGGAAGCTTCATATATACACCTATGCCTCAAGTTCCAGCCGAATCCTCGCGACGCGTTGGCGAGATTCAGGCCACGGAAGCAATGTCTCAAGATGACATCATCAATACCTTGCAGTCGAAGGTTGATCAGTTGGAGCACGAAAAGTCGGAATGGAAGGCAAAAGCTCAATTGGCTGTTGCAGACCGTGATCGAATCGAAGCCCTGGAGCACACAATCTCGCGTCTCGTGATGGAACGTTCGCCGAACACGGCTCGTAGCGCGGGGTCTAACAATCCCTTCGCTTCGTACCGAAAGCACGCAACGACACCAACACCAGCAGGCCCCCGCGGTCAACGACTTGTTGACACGGGAATCGCTCAGGCACTTGTAGAGTCGTCACCGGTAATGGCCGAACAACTTTCGCCAAAACCACCAGTCCAAACGCCGTTCCCTACTCGACAATCCTTTCCAGTACCCATGAATGATGATCACGAGAAAACCCGAAGAGTCTCTTTCAACGCTCTTGTCGACCCGACGCTAAACGATCAAACTATGCCGATGAAAACTTTTCACGAAGTTTACTCCAATGACGCCCAACCCAAGGTACAAGTGGCACTGGACGAGCGTACTCACACTGAACCCCGATCTACTAAAGTCAACGCGAGTGATTTGAGGCTGTCCGAGGTACCAAAATTTACAGGACCATCAGAAAACCCAGCTGCCTTGTTCAATTGGCGACGGCTGATCGAACAATACTTCGACCTGAAGAACTTATCGGATAATCGTCAGCGCTTCATTATTCTCGGTTCAGTTATGATCGAACCTAGAGCGGGGACGTGGTACATCAACTCTCGAGCGGAATTGGAAGGTCTTACCTGGGAAGAACTTATGCACGAACTGGCCTCCGAGACTTTACCGACCGGTTGGCTGGAAGACACAGAAAGAAGCATTAGACAATTACGAATGGGTGTAAATGAAGATTTTAAAACTTACGTCGGAAGAGCTAGAGACCTGTACAATTTGGTTCAAATTAAATCATCACTTAATACGAGACACTTGGCCGAATATATTGTTTGGGGGATGCCAGACATATTTCAAAAATGGATCAAAGATCGACAATTACTGCAAGTGCAAGATTTCAAGTTATTACCTTTTATCTCGGCAGCAAGTAATGTATGGGACTTGGTGGTAGCAAGCAACCTTGTTCCTAGAGGATCACAACGTCAACCAGCGAATCAATACACCGGCAATCCTGCGCCAGTACCACGAGTTACAACCACTACCCAAAACTCAGCTCCGCGAACGCCAGAGCAACGAGCTGATCAGGCGTGGCGATATTTTTCGTATATGAGACATTTAGGATTGTGCGGAATTTGCCGAACAGCATGTGGGAAGTCTGATTGTAAAGGACCGGTGAAAGGACCTTACGTCGCAGTACCAAGTCTTGAGGTCTTCAATCCGGGTCCTCGGCCAAATCGTCGACAAGAACCAAATACCAACAATACCAATCGTTCGTCAATCACCACTCGACCAACACCCACACCTGGAGCACCGACTAGCAAACCAGCTGGCCGACAATCGAACCAAGCTCCTTTAGTGGCCAGGGTTGGTGAAAGGCCAGACTTATTTGCTGAAGATATCGCACGATGATAGGAGATCGGGACAAACTGTGGACTTCAGGCTTCTGGAAAGAACTTCATCGTTTGTTACGTGTTGACGTGCATCTGACAACGGCTTACCATCCCCAAAGTGACGGGCGAAGTGAGAAATCAAACAAGACCATCGTTCAAATTCTTCGTCAACTAGTTTCCTCAAAGCACGGTAAGTGGTTGGAGTCCTTACCATCCGTGGAATTTGCGATTAACACCGCAGTCAACGTCGCGACGGGCATTTCACCTTTTGAATTCGTCTACGGTAGGAAGCCACGATTATTCCCAATTGATTCTTCGTTAGAAACCGAAAGTGCCGACGTTGACAAGTGGATCTCTAAACGACAAGCTGTTTGGGCGGAATCACGAGATCGACTGTGGACAAACCGCATCTCACAAGCAGTTCATTACAACAGTAGGAGACGAGATGGGGAGACGTTAACGGTGGATGATTGGGTGCTTGTTGATAGTAAAGATAGGCAACAAATCGTTGGTGGACCTGGGCAACCGACGGCAAAATTAAGACCAAGATACGACGGGCCTTATCAAGTCATAGAGTGTTTCAATGACGGCAGAAATTTCAAACTGAAGCTGAATGAAAACGACAATTCACATCCGATTTTCCACATCTCAAAGCTGAAGAAATACAAAGGCGAGGCAGGGATGGAAAAGCAAGAAGGGACAAGTGAATGACCAAGGTGTCAAAGTAAGTCCCACCTTAATTAGTATGCACCGCCGAAGACTACCCCCCCAAAAATTTTTTCAAAACAACTCCTTGGCCACGCCCGTGAGCACCGCACAATCTTTTGTCTTTGTTTCAGATTTTTAGAGGTACATGTGGCAAGGATGAACGGAGGGTAGAAGGTCAGCAAGACATTCATAACGAATCAAAAACATTACTTCAAGACAATTTATATTACTTCAAGATCATGATCTCAAAATTCACGTCAAGTTATTTTCAAAATTATTTCTCAATTTCTTTTTTTTCTTCTCTTTCATACACCAGGAAATTTTTAGGGGCGAGTTATGCCAATTTTTCTTTTTTTTTCTTTTTGTTACAGAAACCTTTTTTTAGTTTTTTTTTCAACTTTGGTATTAGAAATTTTTTTTAGGTGGGGAGGGATGTAAGGATGTGTTAAGGACATATACAGCATGGGTTTAGACGGGTTCAATCTATTTACTCTCACTAACCCTGGCTCCACGTTGGGTTCTCTTCTCTTCACGAACCCCGACTGGAGCTAGGTAAGAGTCATCTTTATTCTATTACATTTCATCTTATATTGTTCTGATTTTGATTCTGTTCTCTTCACGAACCCCGACTGGAGCTAGCTAGACAAATTGTAACGCACACAAGAGTTCTAGATTACGCTTCCAGTGGTTACTGAACCACCGTGAGAGATCCTGAGAGTTTAGTGAAGGTTCTTTCCTACGAACCTTACACTTGCCTCACAATATACGATTAGATTGTTATGTTTGTAACAGTGCGAGTCTGAGGAAACTTATTAAATCATGTCCGTACAGCAGCTTGTCCTGGTTCATGTTATCATTCCGGTGAACGATATGTAATTAATTGAAGTCATGATAACTCACAAGCCAAGCTGATGACTGGCCAAGCTGATGACTGGATGCCTCTGGATGCCTCAAACCAGGAATTCGATCTCGATTCGCATCTGATTCATCGAAACAAAAAGAAAAATATGTACATACGAACAATGAAAGGCAACAGAGCGCTCCAATAAGTTCATCTGGGGAAAAACCAGGATAAACACAAATCGGGTCTTATAATTGTCGATGCTGTCAATTAAACTCAATCATGCCGTAAAACCTCTGCGTCACAAGATCGATACAACCGAGAAATATAATGATGAAATGCTTAAGAAATGATATCTTTGGAACATGATACGTGATCAGAAGGATCTCTTGTATGGTGCCGGTGAACGACATCATAACTCGTGAGGAGTCGTGACCGTTTCAGTCCAAAATGCGTCGGATGTGCTATCCGAGGTATTATAGACCCGGGCGGTTTCGGATCAGACGCTCAGATTTGAGCCAATTTGAATCAGGTTAAATAGCCTGACATTCATTTTTAATAAGCCTACAAGATCACTCCTCCACTTCATGAGACAGGATACAAACACCGGGTAAGTGCAGCTCTTCGTCTTATCACTGCTGCAATACCCGGTGCTGGCACTGCTGCGATATCACGTTCACTGAGTACATATCAAAAACTAGATCTTGGAGCTTTCTCTGAGGTATGCTTCTCAGCCAGTGTACATCAATGTGTCTAGCTGGTGAGCATTTATAGAAATCAGATGAAACAGATGCCTACAAAGTCACACATCTATGAATATGATGACATTCCGCATTATCCAACCCACCATGACAGTAAGTATACCATCATTTCTATCTAAACCCTTCTAATACTGGAGGACAATAACCAAAAAACATACGTGATAACAATAACAGCAAGGTAAAATGAAACTTGATCATATATACTATATATGTATATAGAAATGATTGAGATTGAAACAGATCAAACCAGAATATCAAAAAATGAAAATGCAAGCAGGATCAAAAAACATAAAAGCAAAAAATAGACCATCGAAGCTCCTGTGACGAAAATTACCATGATGTTGAAGAATATTGCCATTGATAAGAAGTAGACCCACATACACACTCACGCTCACACAAGCACACGCACACAAATGTCTATCCGAAAAAAACTACCATCATGGTACCATAAACTCCACCCTTCAAAAAACGTAAAAAAATTCAATAACAATGACGACATAACATGCAAGAAAGAATTCTTAAGCTGGAATTGTAGCTGGAAGGAGTAGAGTGCGTGCACGCTCCGAGGCTTCATCTAAAAGTTTTTCAGCTTCCTCAGTAGCCTATTTCAACACACGAAGACGAAATAAGCCACTGTCTGCACTTCCCAACGTCGAATGTACAAATAAAAAAATAACTTACCAATTTGATCTGCACTTCAAACTTTCCACGAACTTTTCCAAATGATGGATTGTCCTGATTATGTAACTCAAGTTCAGTTTCCCATCGTGCAATATGATCTTTACTCTGTTCAAGACTCTCATGGTCCGCTTTCCAATTAGTAACAAGTCCGCGGACACCTTTGAGTTTCCGAACCACATCGGTTTGAGTTTGTCGACTGACTTGAGTGTGTTCATTGATGATATTCAGTGAGTTGATTAAACTGGTTGTTACTAGCTTGAGTTGGTTCAAATGGTTCATCGGAGTAGTTTGCGGACCAGCGTCACCACGCTTCTCCTGCCCTAGAAGGTCGAACGATTCTTCTGAAGCAAGTCTGAGGTTTTGGGCGCTACTACGATGAGCCAATGGTGTGATTTGACCGTCACCGGAAACGTGTTCTTCTTCAAGTGTTTCTAACTCATTTTCCGGCTGATTTTGATCAGCGCTTGAGTAATCCTCATTGAGCTCTCCAGTTTTTTTTCCAACAATGTATGTTCGAAAGTCGATATCCTGAAGAATCATAGGTAGTGAGTCCACTTCAGCTAGCGCTCTTCGATCTGTATGTGATAGAGCTACTTCGATTTCCTTCAGTTCTCGAATTTGCGCTTCTCGATCTCTCACACTCTCGGTCATCGTACGAACAATTTCGGAAATCAATTTTTCAACAGCAGGTTGTCGATCAGATGTTGTTTCCTTCGCATTCGAGGGGGGAGCAAGCCCTGCAGGTGGCGGATTGTAATCGGTGTTGGACTGTTTCAAGATGGTTAAGAAATGAGCCGTTGAGACCAAACCGGCTTCCAAGACGACTCTTGCTCTTTCCTCAGCATCTGAACTATCTGACTCATAAGAATCGCCTTCGTCAAAATTTTCGACGTTTCTCTGTGCTTCCTCCGCAAATTCGTCAGCCATTTCGAAAGACAGAGATTTGTGAGGGCTAGGTGCGGTTGTGAGGATAGTTGAGCGTGATGATTTTCGAGTGTGTCTGGTGGGCGTCAGCTGTCTATCAGCGTTTATAAGCGACTTGCCAGGTGAGGAGTCTGATCCTTTGCCATCGTGCCAACCAGGTGAAGCATTAGCCCAGCCACTTGAGCGGGTGGCGTGAGACTCCATTGACGCTTTTCGTCGTCTCTGATCGGTCGTAGATCCAACTTCTTCCTTTTCATCTGCCTCTTCCCGCATAGTGTAGTCGCCTATCTCTTCTTCATTCTCTTCTTCTTCTTCATATCCGATTTCTTCTTCTTCATCATCATCATCACCAAGACCGAGTGAATCAAGGATACTGGATTGGTCGGTCTCTGTTGGGTCCATGGCAGCAGCAAGTTCGAAGGCGAGTGATTGACGACTCGCGCCTCCGGTGGAGATGCTGGAATGACTATCGGCAAAACTAAGTGAGTTGACACTTCCGTGAGCTCCCTTTGGTTTTCTTCGCACCGAAGAATTACCGTACGCTTCGCTTTCGTCATAAGAAGTTTGGTCCAAGTGAGCTCGCGAAGATCGAGTACTGATTGATTTAGGTCCGCTGAGGACAGAGAGGTTACTACCAGATCGTAATTGTTCACGACTCTCTGGTCGAGAAAGGTGATGAGAGCTGTACGAAGTGTTGCTTGTCATTCTTGATTGCTTGGTTCTTTCTCGAAGTTCATTCTGATCATCGTCGAGCTGTGATTCGACATCGCAGTGAGTTGGTTCTAGCTGAGTAGGATCGGGCATATTCATGTAGCTTTTTGTTGCGCTGAAATGATAGTAGCTCTGTTCGTAAATCGAAGTTGAACGCTTGTTGATTAATGTCTTTAAGTTAAGCACAGAGTTGAAAGGGATGGGTGGTGAGATAGTTTGCTGATAATGAACGAATGAGCACCAAAAACCTTGACGTGACTCCTCGTGAGTCTTGAACTCAGACTGAATCTTACTGCTCTCTGTTTCTCCGTCAGTCCGCGCACCAACCCCGGGTCGGGCTCATAAAACCCCAGCGAGTAGTTGTATTGAACAAAGGGCTTCCCGGGTTCCCTTTCAAGTCAGATCAACCAACCCGTTTCGGATTCAATGAAACCTCAGTAGCGCATTAAACGTTTTTAACCACATTCTCGATCCAATCTTATCGTGTTCTATCAGAAACTCATCATCGGCTCATAATTCGGTATGGACGCTCCTCAACTTACCAGCAGACCACGCTACGGCGTCGTAACTGAGGCTTATTGCACTCCGGAACTCATACATATGCAAACTTCATGAAGTTGCAAAGTGTATCCCCCAGTTAAAAAAGACTGGCGACAACTTCCGTACATGGGAAACACAGCTCAAGATTATGATAAAAAATCTGACTGGGTCATCTGACTACTTCCAACAAGATCTACACAAGTACGATCCAAAATTAAACCAAACAGTCTTCAACTTGATAGCCTGGTCAATTGACGAAGAACTCCTCCAGCACTGGATGGGTCTGCTGGAGATGCTTTTCAAGCCTTGGCAAATCGGTTCCAATCAAAACCTTCGGCTCGATGTCTCATCAATCGTACCGATTTTCCAGAAGAAATTTTAGACAACATCGTGAACATGGTTTACCATCAATCTGCTGAAGAGCACAACTCAATCAAGGAAAGAAAATCAGATCGTCGACACTACACCACGAACACGCGGATAATTATGAATCTTCTCGTATACCTTGGTCACGGTGGTCCTCCAGTTCTCAATTCTATTCAAAACCTTGCGGTGGTCCATCGAAAGTTCTATAGGCTGTGTCTTCCTAAGTTATGGCAGGTATGATTGTGGTCTTTGCACGCATCCTGCTTTGATTGGTACCAGAAGTTGAGTGCACTGATCCATGTTTGTCAAATCTATCAGAAAGTCGCATTTCCAACTTCCCTGCCTGCTCCTATATCACTCTGGACGGGCGATTTACTCTTGAAACACGGAAACTTAGTAAAGTCTGCTCAATTTGACTTAGAATATGTAGCTCTTCATCAGCATCCTCACGAGTTTTCAGAAACCGAAATGAGTCTTTTGGATAATACATCGCTGCTTCATGTTAGCAATTTCAGATTCAAGATTGGACTGTTGAACATTGCGAAGATCTTCAAAGTCTGTCCCTCTCTAGAATCAGTATCGATTTCTCTTCAGCCAAGTGGACGAACATCTGAATGGGTGTCTGCTCTTGCAGTTCGCTTGAGAAGCCCGTTTCAGCTTCTCCCACAACTCGAACATTTACAATTGAAGGACCATAGATACCAAGGTCTTTCAGGCAACTTTATAATTGATATCATCAAAGAATTACCATCTCTCATTTCCTTGGAATTATCCCGCTTTAAATTTTTCCGAAAAGAATCTGTAGAAGAATCTTTTGGATGGAATCTAGCGCAGCTCAAGAAGCTTCGCAAACTTAGTCTTGAGTGCATCAGTTGCGAGGATCAAACTTGGACCTTGAATTCTTGGCCCGAACCGCTCACAAATCTTGAAATTAGATGTTGTGAGGGCATGACACCTGAAATGGCACATCGATTACTCAGCGGTAGAGCTCCCTTTCTTACTAAACCATAAATCGAGCTCGACGCCTTTGGAGACAGAACAGATGTGAAAGTTCGATTTGATCTTCCGACTCTCAAAACCCTCCGTGTAGATCATTATGAAATCATCAATCTACTTGTAAGCTTTGAAGACTGTAGAAGTCTAGAAGTCCTTGAATATCATGGTGATATGTATGATGATCAATGGAACTCGCTGAAGAATCTATTATCTCGACGTACTTGGCCTAAGCTCGTGGTTTTAGATCTTTGTTACTCAAGTCTCTATGATGGAAATGGACGATGGCTAGGCAAGCAGGAAGTGGAAGAATTATTCAAACCGTTCAACATCCAGCTATTAATGAAAAAGAATTAAACACAAATCAATCTGACTGGAACCACGATTTATTGCCGAGAAACCTGATGAGCTGGAATTCCATGATCTTGATTGTCTTACGTTTTAACTAAGGTTGATTTTATCTAGCTAACTTGAATTGTCAGATACTCTCAATTGAACTGATCCTCATGGATATTAAGGGGTTTCAAGTTTGAGTTTTTGCGTATCTTTACGTTTTAAAAACTTGGACGATGTTATAAATTTTACGTAAAATAATTTTAAAACGGACAACCTTTTTACGTCGCCTGTTTTAAAATTAGCGTAAATTTACGCTTATAAAAAGTATCCGGTCAACCTTTTGACCTTTTCAATAGGGGGTTTCAAGTTGCAGATTTTTACGTATTTTTACGCCACAACAACTTGCCCGTTGTTGTAAAATATGTGTAAAATTTTTAAAGCGGGACACCTTTTTAGGTGTCCCAAATTAAAAATATGTTGGTTTTACGGAGATTTTTTTTTACGGACAACTTGTCCGAATTTATAAATTTTACGCAAAAAACAAACGAACTTGAAACCCCCTAATGATGGTATCGCCCACTTCATCAAACATGAGATCGGTCGAGAAGGCCATCTTGTCATTGTCTTCGAAGAGAATGTCGCCAAAGCTTGGAACGATAGGTTCACCGCTTTGATTCTTTTTACGACGATAATCATCCAACATGCTTGCTTTTTACAAACGGTCAAGTTTAAACTTTTACGCTGTCGTATAAAACTTGACCGATTTTTTAAAAAAGCGTATAAAAAATTGTAACTTGAAACCCCTTATTGAACATCCACTTCTTTACACATAAATACTCCCACATCACTCTCAACCCATATATCCCCTTTTGTTACTCTTGATATCTTCATCACTGACTTGTCATTTAGTTTCATACCACTAATAAAACAATTGATTCTTAACTTGCCACAATTTTCGAGGAAGCTACAAGGAAGATCTGTTTTGAGATCTCGACCTACTTGATCACTACCAATGATCCTTGACACATTATTCATAAAAAAACTGACTCTTATGGCGTTCATTCCCACCAATATCTCATTTACTTATTTATTTCACCTACTGAACTTTGTTTTATTCCCCTCTAAAGTTGACTGGGTATAAATTATTTGTCATGATTTTTTTGTATGATGATCAACTTGCGCAATCATCATCAAAATCACGAAAGCCTCAATCTTGGAAAAAAAGATCTCGTTCACACAGCTTTTGAAGGTTGTAGAACAATTTCAGCGTTCATCTGATAGCATTGCATCGAACAAAGGGAAACTGGTCATTTCTGTGAGTCGAACTTGAGACTTGTTATATCCTTGAATGGTGCAAACAACAAGCGACATTGTTGAATAAGATAAAAAAATGGCAATCATGACTTTTGGCTAATTACTCGTAAGAGTCATTGGAATGGGTATATTCGGAAGGAATAGTAAAATAGTACACATCACGATGAACAAAATAGCCCTTCAAAGTAATTCTTGAAGTGCAACACAGCCTTGAGGTGACTCTTGAACGCAGACTGAAGCAGAAATCTTGCTCTTCTCAGTATCTTGTTGGTCCGCGCACACAACCGGGGTCGGGTTCAAGGGCGTAAAGACTGCATCAACTCTTTTCGATTATTTCAAGTGAACCTTTGGCACTGAGCCTGGTGCTTGGAAATTCTGATTTGACTAGTTTACATATCTCATTTTTGTGTTCGACATATCAAACCCATCTTTGTCTCACGATCATCGCATATCCAATCGTGAAAATGAGCCTTATCAATCCAGCTTTGTCCCAACATCACAAAACTGGCGTCGGAAATGAGATGTATTCTAGCCCGGACTACATATGCAAACTTCAAGATCTTGCAAAGCGTATCCCCCAGTTGAAGGAGACTGGCGACAATTTCAGCCTATGGGAACGACAATTAAAGGTTATGCTACGAAATCTAACTGGGACATCTGGCTACTTCCAACAAGATCTAAACCAGCACGATCCAAAGTTGAACGAAGCAGTTTTTAGTCTTATATTTTGGTCGCTTGACGAAGCACTCCAACAGGACTTTATCGTTGATGGGTCTGCTGGAGACGCCTTTCAACTCTTGGCAGATCGATTCCAATCAAAATCTTCGGCTCGATGTCTCATCAATCGTGCAGATTTTCCGGAAGAAATCTTAGACAATATTGTGAATATGGTTCACCATCAATCTTTTGAAGAGTATGAATGTATCAAGGAAAGAAAGGTGGAGCGTAGAACCCGAACCCCAAAGCCAGGTCTGAAATTTGAAGTTTACCTGGGTCACCACGGCGCTCCGGTTCTCACTACTTTTCAAAACCTTGCCGTGGTCAATCGAAAGTTTCACAGGCTTTGTCTTCCTAAGTTATGGCAGGTATGATTGTTTTGCTTGTATAAATGCGCTTTGATCAAGATCAAAAGCTGAGTGCGCTCATTCAAGTTTATCAACCTTATCAGAAAATCTCGTTTCCAACCTCGTTGCCTGCTCCTCTGTCACTTTGGACGGACGATTTACTCTTGAAACACATGACATTAGTTAAATCTGCGCAATTTACATTGGAAGACATCGGTAGACATCCGAACTTTGATCGGTTTTCAGAAAGCGAAAGGAGTCTTTATGATAATACATCATCATACATCAAAATCACGGGCCAAGATTTGAGATACGGAATTGGGCTGTTGAACATTACGAAGATCTTCAAAGTCTGCCCTTCTATAGAGTCGGTAGCAATGTATCTTCCACCGGCCGGACCTCGTGAATGGTCCTCTGGTCTTACAGTCCGCTTGCTGACCCCACTTCGGCTTCTCCCACAACTCCGACATTTAAAACTAGCGGACTATGGATTCAGAGGTCTTTCAGGCGACTTTGTAATTGATATAATCAAAGAAACACCATCACTCCTTTCTTTAGAGCTGTCCAGCTTTACATTTGTTCGAAAGCCATCTGAAGAAGAATCATTGGGATGGAATCTGGCTCAGCTTCAGAAGCTTCGCAAACTAGCTTTTCACCACACCACGTGCGAGGATCAAACATGGACCTCAAAGTCTTGGCCCAAACAACTCACAACCCTTGAACTGGTCTGTTGTACTGGGATGACGCCTCACATGGCACACAATTTGATCAGCGGTAACAACCCGTTTCTTACTAAACTTCACATCCAGGTCAACGACGGCAGTGGAGAAGCTGTGAACGTTCGCTTTGATCTCCCGTCTCTTAAACACCTCCGTGTGGATCACTATGAAGCCCTTGATCTACTTGTAAGCTTTGAAAACTGTAAAAGTATAGAAGTCCTCAAATATAATGGTGATATTTATGAACCTCAATGGGACTCAATGAAAAACCTCATATCTCAACATACTTGGCCTAAGCTATCTGTTTTGGATTTTTTTTACTCAACCTTTCTTGATGGCTATTTACACCCAATAACTGCGGAAGAAACGGAAGAACGATTCAAAGCGTTCAACATTGAAGTGCTGTGGCAACATCGTCAAAAGTGATATCTATGTAGCTGGAACCACAAATTTGTGCCAAGAAACATGACGGGTGGACATCTTTTGTTCAAGATCCTTCTATTTGTCAACGATCTACTTTGTCTTAATGGCAAGATATGTTATATTCTCGAGGTAGATGAATGGCTCTGGCTGAGATTGTTCACAGCTTCAATCAGTTGCAATGCATTTCTTTTTCTTGCTGATGCTCACTAAATAGAACATTTTTAGTGTAAGAGCTACTGTTAGGAAGTCCTCAAATCAATTGAACATTTGAAATATCATTAAGTGATTATCTATCCGCCTATAGCGTCCCTGAGTCCAAGTCACTTTCATGAATTATTGCAACCTGCAGTTTATATGCAAGCGTCAAGATCTTGCAAAGTGTATCCCCCAGTTAAACAAGACTGGCAACAACTTCTGTCTATGGGAAAGACAGCTAAAAGTTATGCTAAGAAATCTGACAGGTTCATCTGTCTACTTCCAACAAGACTACAAGCACAACCCTAACTCAACCAAGCCGTATATGGTCTTATATTTTGATCAATTGACAAAGAACTCCAACAGGAATTTATCATCAATGAATCTGCTGGAGATGCCTTTCAATTCTTGGCAGGATAATTCCAACCAAGTTCTTTGGCTCAGTGTATCATCAATTGTACCAAGTCATTTGTCTGAAAATTGAAGCATACCCAGGTCACAAAGGTTCACCAATTCACAAGGCCTTTCAAACTCTTGCTGTGGTTAGTGACAAATTTTCAGGCTTTGTCTTCCTCTATAGCTTATGGAAGGTATGTTTCTACTTGAACTCCAGCTCTGATCAAGATTGAAAGTTGAGTGTTCTCATTCAATTTTATCAGCCCTATCAGAAACTTGGATTCCCAACCTCTTGGCCTGCTCCCATTCACTTTGGACAGACTATTTATTTTTGCAACACACAAGCTTAGTAAAATGTGCTCAAACTGGATCAGAAGAGACTTGTTTTCATCACAATGTTGATTGGTTTTCAGAAAGAAAAAAGGATATCTAAGATGATACATCAAGAATTGATGGTGGCAACCTTAGATACGGAACTGGCCTTTTGAACACTGTCAATATCTTCAAAATCTACCTGTCTCCAGAGTTGTATGTGTATCTCCCACAAAATGGACCTAAATCTGAATGGTTGCCTGGTCTTACAGCCAGCTTGAAAAGCCCACTTCAGATTCTGCCTCATTTCCAGAATCTCGATTTAAAGGAATGTGGAAACAAAGGTATTTTGGGTGACTTTATATTGCGATCATCAGAAAATGGCCATGACTTGTTTCTTTGGAACTGTCTAGCTTTAAATTTGTTCATAAAGGATCTATAGAAGAATCCTTGGCATGGAACCTAGCCCAGCTTCAGAAGCTTTGGAAACTTAATCTGGAGTGCATCAGTTGCATGCAAGGATCAAACATGGTCCTTGAATTCTTGGCTCAAACCTCTCACAAATCCTACACAGATGTTGTGTGGAAATGACACCTGAATTGGCATACAAATTACTCAGTGGTGGCACCCACTTTCTCACTAAACTCAAAACAGACCTTCACCAACTCAACAACCTCAAGGCCAGATCACATACAAACCTGTGATTTGCCTGCCTCTCAAATACCTCAGTGTATCTCATGATGAAGCCATTGATCCTTTTGGTAGCCTTGAAAATTGTGAAGGTATAGAATTTCTTGAGTTGTTTCATGCAATATTTGGTCATCAGGGGGATTCAACAAAAACTCACTTATCTCAATGTACTTGGCCTCTGCTCTTGGTTTATGATGTTAGCTGTGCACACATTTATGCAGATGGACATTGGTTACACAGGGAGGAACTGGAAGAAATATCTAAACCGTTCAACATAAAAGTATTAGCTACAACAGATTAAAATACCAATCTGTTGGGCTGCAAACTCAAATATCTGTGGAACAATCTCATGGGCTTGAATTCCATGATCTTGATTGCTTTGAGGTGGGACTGAAATGAATTGTTGTTGGTAACCTGTTATTAACAGAGTGGAATGGGAGAGTTGGGTCATTACATATGTCTTGTCAAACTAACGGGTTGGACTTCCCTCTATACTTCTGGTTGCTTTAGCTATGACATCATAGCCATTGACCATGTTCTTTTCCAACTCTTCCCATTGTGGTATCTTTTGTCAAAGTTTTCATCTTTGAACTATCAGCTCATATCATTGATTCTTAGCTATTTCATTTAAGAAAATTTGGATAAAACTTTGATCATTTCTACAAAGGTTACATAAAATCATCCTATTTCTTGTAAAAACTGTTTTTTGTTAAATCACAAATCAGTCAGAGTGAGGAGTCATATGATTATGAAGCTGCAAAAGTTGTGGCCAATAAGTTGGTGTCCCTTTCCACTCAATATGAATCAGGAGGAGGTTCCAACGCCAAATCCATGGCAGAGGTCCAATCATTATTCTCTGAGATCGTTCCTTTCAACACCCCAAATTGGTATAGACAATGGTCTAAATTTGCTTCCGATCTCATCAAAAGCAACAAAGACAACAACCGTCCTATCCACCACAATGAGGGATCAACACCTACCGGTCGTGTCTTATCAGATGAAGACCCTGTATTTGTCTTTGATCTGTTGACTAGTGTAATGTTTCAAGACGACATTGTTCTGTATAAAGGGAAGAATCCAGCTGGGAAAGGTCAATCGAGTCATCATTCCTCTAATTGACCGTCTCCTAGAGTACATATTCTTACTCAAGCCAAAATTGACATGGCACAAAAAGCAAGGAATTTGCTGGAAGCCAAAAATGATAAAGACAGAGGTAAATCTACTTCTCCAATTCAGAAAAAGAAGAGTGGTAGACACTCAAAACATCACAAGACAGATGTGGACTCCGACAATAGCTCAATTTCTTCTGATTACAAAGATGCTAGCGATGCCAAGAAATCAAAGAGGTTTGATTGGTACTCTAGAGCCGAATCAGGTCCAAATTCTGAAGCCTCTTACACTCTGTTTTGCAAATTCCAAGAAAGGATACACTTCAAACCTGTCTCTGGTGGTCAAAGGTTTCAACAGAACTGTCAGACCATCCGATTTTCCTAAAACCTTACCAAAAGAATTATTGGAAGGCAAATTCATCAACTTACATTTCAAACGATTCCTCTTCACCTTCAATACCAACTTTGCCAAATTATGAGGATTAACAACAAGAAGAGAGTAGATTATAATCTCACATTTGGTTCTTGAGCATCTCCTCATATTTGGTGTGGGTTTTTTTCCCTGGTCTTGTGGATTGTCAAGTTTGTATTTGGCATCTAGAGAATGAATGATATGATGGATGATGTGTGGGGAGTATGTGCTAGGAAGGATTTTATTACTTTTAAAAATCATTTTATTCCCACCCCACAAGCTAAATTGTTGACTCTATTCGATTTGCTTGGTGTTCTGTGGGTCTGGACAAAACATATTCACGAGCCAGTCATCAATATAATAGGTCACATGGTAGATACTGAAAAGATGACTATGTTTCTTCATGAAGACAAGAAATCAAAATTATTTCAGTTGATCAAAAGTTTTTTATCGAAGCCAAAAAATACTCTGAAAGAATTGCAAGAATTACCTGGGACTGTATCTTGAGCTTGAATTTCTATGCCTTGGAGCCGCTGTGCTCTTCAAAGTCTTTACAAAAAGATAGCGGGGACGTATAAGAAGTATCTTCAGATACCATTGAACAAGGAGAATCAAAATGATTTAAGATGACTTTTGAATTATTTTAAAAATGCTGAAGGAGTTAGATTCCTCAAGTCTATGAGGTGGTCTTTGCAAGATGCTAACTGAGTATTTTTCACCGACACTTGTATGACAGGAATAGGTGTTTGGGAACCTGGTCCTTGCTTAGGGAGATATTCGGTTTTACCTCCGCCGACTTGCAATATCTATTGAGCAGAATTATTAGGTGTAATTTGTGCAATTGATTATGGCATTAAAGAAGGGTCAAAACGGGTTTTGGTTATTCAGACAATCAATTACTCTGTGATTTATTTAATTCCCACCGCCCCAACAAGATTGTGAGACCTTTGTTCCATTATTGCATTTTGCATCTGGTTGAGTCATGTGTTGACGTAAAGGTTGTGCACATTTCAAAGGATTTCAGTTTTGCAGCTGACAATTTGTCTAGGCAAAAAAGTGGTTTAACAAGATTCAGTTGGAGTCTCTGTGCATACAAATTGGAGCTTCATTGGTTTCTTATTTCTATGTCAACTCTGATTTGTCTTCTGGAGGTTCTGAAGCAAATCTTTCAGTATCTAACAATTTCTCTTCCGGTTCCACACACCGTGTCCTTGTGGCAGTCGCCCGACGACAAGTGCACGTGGACTGCCTTTGAGGCACAAAGGCAACTCGCGTGCCCTCGTTGACGAGCGAACATCACACGGACATGATGACATCATGGTTAAATCCAAACAGACTTTGGCTATTGTGAACATATCTTTTGTAGAATTAAGGCAATTATCAAAAGAAGACCATCAATCTACTATGGCCAAGATATCTTTAGCAAAGTATAAAAGTGGATTTGGGAGTTTTGCTAAGTTCTGTAAAAAATTCTGTCAACATTTTGTTCCTAATGTCAGGAACCTGTGTGATTATGTTTCATATGCTAGTTGTGTTATTTCTCTTTGCTCAGTTCAGGCTTATCTAGTTGTTACTAAGCACATTTTTAGATTAAATTTCCCATCAACTATTTGCAAAATGAGACACTAAGATGTAATTGATACAATGAAGCACTGTTTAAACAAACTTTCAAAACCAGTTATCAGGAACATGTTGAAGTAAATACATTTTAGTTACATATACACCACGAACCCCCCAAAACGGTTTCCCAACCGCGACCCAGAACCGGTCGAGAAACAGTTTGTTGTTGCGCAAGCGGAAACGGGTTTGAACCGGTCTCGGCCCGTTCGGTTTTCAAACCGTGTGTAAAAGTCTGGTTTGACCACAAAGGACACCCTGGTTGCCAAACTGTTTGTAGCGTAGCCTCAGGACGCGAAACTGGCGCGCACTGAATGGCAGTCTGGCACGCTTACTTAACACATGAGGACCTTTGCATGATTTCAAATCAATAGATGAATGATTTCCAATGAATAAAATGCTTGACTAATTACATTAATGAACTGCAAACATAAAATGCAAGTGGGGAGGAGCAAAAATGAAACGGTATGAGCGAGGAAGATGATAACAATGCTTAATACAAATTTCGAGAAAATTCCAAAAAAAATCTGCCTCCTTCACAGATCTAAGCTTCATCTTCATCGGCATCGTCTTCGACCGGCTCATTTTCCTGATCATCTCCTTCATCCTCATGGTTTTCTACCAGGTCATTTCCCTTATGATCTCCTTCATTACCAGCTAGTTGTCCCGGATATTGCTTGTCAAGCTCCTTCCGTGTCTCTCGGATTTCCCGCTCGCTGGGTAACTCAAATTTGGTAATATCTTTGAGTTCTTCAAACGTTTTTTACCAGTGAAGGTTTTGTAGTCGATTTCGAGACACAAGATTGCAAAGCTGTTGGACTCATAAGTCAGTCAGTGTAATACTTGAAGGACAAGCGGCAAGGAAAGTTCAAAATGATACTGACGCATAACGATATCTTACGGTCTGGGCTCGCAGCAATTCCAATTGATCATCAACTACTGACCAAAAAGTTCAAGAGCCATATTTGGCCTTGTTTAAGCCCCAGTAGCAAGCTTGCAAACGCTGGACAAGGGTGGACAATCAGTCAAGTTGAACAATAGCCCGATTTGATTGTTTTTAACTCACCAGATATGCAATGCGAGCCTCTTGTAAATGTTCGATCTGTTTCAAAATGTCTTCACGTACTTGGACACGACCTCCCACAGACCCAGCATGCTTCTCATGAATCTTTTTGGGTGAGAGTCAGATATATATATATAAGAACGGTACCCGTTAAAGTAAAGCATGTACAAAAAGTGACCCACCTTGACTATAACCTCTCTTAATTTTGGCACCTTCTCATTACCTACACTGGTGATTCGGCCCGGTAGCTGGATGTTTTCAATAACCTGGGCGAAAAGAAATGGATTCATACTCATTATAACGTCTAGCTGGGACTTTTGAAGTACTTACATTAGTTTCAAACTCTTTTCGAATGTCTTTACAGACGGTGTTGACCAAAGTGTGAAAAGCTTTCAAATACTTTGGATTAGGATTCTTCCCAAATCCAGGCGGAAGTAACCTTTTTTTCCATTCTGCTGGAGTAGTGAGGATCGCATCCTGAAAATCCAAATACACGGGAAGCGTCATTAAATAGAAGTGTCAATGATTGAGAAATTTGTGATGAGAATGATCAAAAAAGAAGGTGCTTATACTTACAATCACGGTGGCAAAGAACGACAAGGGAAGCTTCCCAGGAGGACCGTTCCTGTTCTTGATTGCGGTATAAGACTGGAGGTCGCCTCGCCCAATTTGCAAGTGCGCCATTTGACGGATACAACTCTGGTTGTGTTAGGTTAGTATGAGGTGAGGCTACATCAGGAAATTTAATATAGGCAACTTACACGCAGCTCCAATCCTTGCTCTTTTGTGAGCCACGGAGTGTTTGTCGTAGTCGTGCTCACTCCCTTTTCTGCAAAATCCCAAACTTCAAGGATCTGACGGGATAAATCCTCGTGTATGGCTGTCATGTGTTGACGGCCTGCTAAGACCGTTAACATCAGGGCCATCAGGTGGTCTTCAGGTACCGCCTACACAACAAGTTTTTGAAACGGTCAGTTAGTTAGAAGACACTTAAATCCCGCACCAGATATAGAACCACCACTTACACTGAACACTCTTCGACCAATAGCTTGATGGTGGTCATCCAGGTCGGCGCGACTGGCCAATCGATTGAACGTCTGTAGTCTTGATCCTGTCATGTGAGTGTTCATGCTCAAGGTATCAAGGGGTGCTTGGTGTGAAGCTGATTCGGAAGTTTGGCTCTTTTGTGGTCGATATTCTTCCTGGCTGCTAGGGTCACGGTCAGGTTCTAAGGTTGCAAGATGTAAGTCGATTAAAGTCAATTGTTTGAGGAAGGAGATTGAGAGAAACTGACCCAAATCGTCAGTGGGATTGAGGCGAAACTGATCTAAATCTTCAGGCGTGAAGAGTGCAGTCGCACCAGCAGCAGAGGGGGAAGCTTCAGAAGCAGGAGCCCCAGTGATGTTGTGTCCAGAGATTGGACTTGAGTGGTTGGATTCTCGAGATTCTCGAGGGCTCAATGCTCGGCGCTTGGGGTAACGTGCATTGCTGGTCATGTCGGTTTTTTTACCGGACCCTGGTCGATTCTTGCAACCTTGAGAGCTGGAATGGCGGCGAGGTGACCGGCGAGGTGACCGGCGAGGTGACCGGCGAGGTGACTGTGATTTAGACTGTTGTTCTTCCTCACGGTGACGGCGCTTTCAAGATCCTGAGGGAGTGTTCTGAGACTGGGTTACGTCACCTGTTGGTTTGGGTTTAGGGAAAAATCTTCCTGATACCATGTTTGGAGGTGGCTTGGATGGAAGAAGGTTGAAACAATGGAAATTTGAGTGGAACAAGGAAGAAAGCGGCAGATGGAGGAAGTGATGAGGATACCAATTTGGCTAAGTCAAATTTGAACTGATATAATCTGAAATGGTTGGACCGGTTCGGGGCTGTGATAGATCTATGACACACAGTGCCTTGTGAAATGATTTCGGTTGACCGTTTCAAAAAAGGAGAAGATGTGGGTGATGCAGGAAGCAGGGAGACAAAAATATCGCTTTGGTGTTATATGCTGTGTGCTGGTTTCACCTGAAAAAAGACACCGAAAATGATGGCTCTGACCAATCCTTGGGTAACGTAAACAGCCAACACAAATGTGAATTTCTAAATCATTACAAATTTGAAGTGTTTCAATGATTGATTTACACAGTAACTGGATTTCCTATGAACCATCCTTGGGAAACGTGAACAGAAAACAAAATGTGATTTTGGAAATGAATACAAGCGTTCAAAACGACGAGACAATCTGAAAGCAGTTATAAAAGAAAGTCATCAAAGCGATACTAAGAAATTCATAGTGCTTTATTTTCTTCTCTTTGTTGAGGTCGAAGCTCCTTGTTCTGGGGCAACATGTTTTCCTTTTCCTTTAGCTTTTGCGTTTTGTTTATCCTTTAGGTCCTGTTTTTTCTGTAAGGCATTCTCCCAATTCTTGATCCCGTTTGCAACTGCTGAATGCCAACTCGCCGCACTGACTTCACCAAATGTAAGATTTGCCCACTTGCAATGTAATTCAGTCAAATAAAAAGCCGCTGAGTTAAGTATAAAGTGGGATGTGTCATTATGCACAACCACAGGCTCTTTATGTTTGGAAAGGTGTCGTTCAATCATGACCGGATGTTCTTTTTTAACCCTGCATCCACTTTGATGGCAGTCGTGTTGGAGGTTCAGAACACCTTCAATGTCCTGATCACGCATCAATCAGTGTTTTTAATATGGCTTCAATGTTCAAGTCAGAGATTTAAGCCCACCTCAGGATTGATCCAACCAATTCTCGTGGTTTCCTCAACTTTGCGCATTCCATAGAAATCGCTCACTTGTCCGGTTTGACACTGCACTACTTCCAACTTGCACTTTTGCGGAGCCCATCCAACAGCTCCCCATATTCTCATCAACCTGCAGAGAATCTTTCCGTTGGGCGAGTGTGATACAAACATATCGGAAAACGCCTAAATCCGAATGAACAAAACCGTTGATATTTGTACATATGACCACTCGGAGAAAGAGAAAAAGGAATGTTAATTACCGACAGAAAACTATTAGTGCGAAGGGTTTGTCCATTTTTCAAAGTCAAAGATGAGAAAACCTTCCATTCCTTCGACTTATAACTTTCCAAAATCTCATGTGGAATGATTTCTTCGGCGCGTTCAGGCTGCTCCACCTGAGGTTCTGATTTTACAAAATCACAAATTCAATTATGAACAAAGATGTGTCATAATTAGGATCGTGAAGGTCTTGGCTTACTTCCCAATTTGAATTGATGTTCTTCGTTCCATTTCGAGTTGAACCCCAAAGCTTTTTGCAATAAGAGATTAGTTTTGAAAAGATCTGTGAGTTTACTGCCAGCACAAATGTAAGTACGCAGATGCGAGTCGTAGTTACGACACGCGCCTGTTATGGATCTCATCAGATGGTGGTTATTAAAAGAGTTGGTGATGTCCTTGCTAGCAAGGCTGCCACAGATACGATACCAGTACCGGTATCGTACGGCACCGTATCCGACTGGCCGGGTACCGTAGCTCGGTTATCGTAACCGAGATACGCCTACAATACCAAGTGCAGTGGCTGGTGGTATCGCATGTCGTGGTACGGTACTCAGTATTGTAACCGCCCTGCGGTACGATACCGGATACCTCAATCTGTCAGTACCGAGGTCAGGGTACGGTATCGGAGCCGTATCCACTATACGAGTACGGTACTGGGTCAAAGCGGTAGCCACCCTTCCAGCAAGCATTGGCCCTCAACCTCACTAGTCACACTTTGGATGACAGCTTTTTCCTGAGGTCACGTGACCCGAATTTCAGCTTCGCCATCCCATTCTCCTAACTTTTTCTCGTTCTCGCGATCATCTTCTCCTGTCGATAGCTAGCGTCATATGCCCCCTGACGCGTCTGTAAGGTTCTCGTGAGAACCTTCACTAGCGTCCGGATGATACTCCGGCACGACTTCTCTTGAGAGCACGATTGGACAAATTACTTAGAACCTCGTTATATGAATTACAATCTGGTTCCAGGAAGTCCCAATAAAGGCTCTCGGAGGAGTCAGTAAAACCCCAGCAATACAAAAGAACAATAAAACAATAAGAGAAAACGCTCACCTGGTTCCAGGAAGTCCCAATAAAGGCTCTCGGAGGAGTGAAGACTTCCTAGAACCGGGCGTGGAGCAAGAAGGTATAGCACTGCCTATCTAATCCCATAGTCCAAATCCCATAAGTCCAACCTGTACTTGTGTGTACTCCTTACACCCTTCCCTCCTAAAAATAAAAGTCTAACCGTCTTCAACCAAAATATGAAGTAGAAACCAAAACAATTCAAACACAAAAAAATTGGCATAACTCGCCCCTCAAAAAGTGACCATAACTCGTCCCTGAGAAAGCAAACCTGTTGTTAAGAGAGAAAAAAAATAGAACTAAAGTTGAAAGGAAAAAAGAAGAGAAAAAGAGAAAAAGATGAGAAAAGCAGAAATAATGATCTTGAGGTCGTAATGATTTCTTTGTTTAAATCTAATATATATTGAAATTGAAATATGAATTAATGAAATCTTGAATCTTGAGTATTGGGTCTTGCATTTGAGGTATGTCTTAGTCGTGTTAATCATAAATAATTTCGTGCCACGTGGCCTTTTGAGTCTTGTTGTGTTAGATTACCTGTTATTTAGGAGAGAACCTTGCTTGCCAGCTGTTTCATTTAATAGATTGATTGTAAGGGAAATATCAAACTCACTTGCGGGGGTGCTAATGCAATAAATGCACACCCCCTTGTCAACGTCCTAGCTTGCCTCAAAGGCATCCAGATCCTGGTCCCATGAGGTTGTTTTCGGCCGAGACAAAGCCACTGTTGTGACTGCAACCTTCCTCGTATGCTACTACTCCTTGATGTATGTCTTGATTTTCGCGTAAGGTTCTGTTATTTTGGAGGAAACAAAGCTTGCCAACCGCTTCTTTACTACATGAATCAAAAGAAATAACAAACTCACTTGCGGGGGTGCTAGCGCAATAATTGCACACCCCCTCGTCACTTTTCGTAGCGTGCCCCAAAGGCTCCTGTCCAGGACCGTATGGAGTTGTTTTCCGAACGGACGAAACCGTGTTGACGGCTGCAATGCTTGGTTCGCCTACATCGACATCTCTTCCATGATAAAGTTTCAATTTCGAAATGTGAAAAATCGGATGCGTAGAGTCCTCCAGTTGGAGTTGTAGACGAAAATCTCGACCTGCATTCAGTACTTCTTGAACTTCGTAAGGTCCATCATAGCGCGCGCGGAGTTTCTTTGTTGGACGTCCCTTTCCTCCTACAACCTGTTGTCGATCAGTACTGTCGACCATGACCCAATCACCTACGCCAAAAGGTGTGCCCTCTCGACGCCGTTGATTATATTGCAAAGCCTGATCCACACGACTGCACCACACTCGGTCCCTCCATGTCGCCCACTCCGATTCCCGACGCTCAATCCAGTGTTTCACGTCATCAGTGTCAGTATCAGAGGGACTTTGAATAGGAAAGAGTCGCGGAATTTGCCCATATACAAAGTGGAAAGGAGAGACACCGGTTGACGCGTTAATCGCTGAATTGATAGCGAATTCGGCTAATGGTAAGGATTGTTGCCACTTCCCATGCTTGTCTCCAGCGAAATGTCTCAAGATTTGACCCACGGTTTTGTTTGACCTCTCGCTCCGGCCATCTGCTTGCGGGTGGTAAGCCGTCGATAATTGAATACGCACACCCAGCAGTTCGTGTAGCCGTTGCCAAAACTTGGAGGTCCAGGCTTTGTCACGATCTCCAATAATTGACTCTGGCAGACCAAAAATCGAAGACCAAGCCGTGAACAATCGGCTCGCTGACCGTTCCGCTGTATCTCGTTGTGAAGCTGGAATGAGACGCACAAAACCCGTAAGTCGACAAGTGCAAGAAAGTATCATATCATACCCCGACACTTTTGGGAAAGGCCCTATGAAATCAATGGCTATTGATTGCATTGGTTGAGTAGGTAATGCAGTACTCTGTAGTTTGCCGGTCGTCGATGTTGTTCTTGCCTTGTTGCGTTGACATGAATCGCACGAGCGTAGCTGATCCTCAACCTCCTTTGAAATACTTGGCCAAAAGAAGGTACTTCTGAGACGTGCTAATGTTTTTCGAATGCCAAGGTGTCCTAATGCAGTGTGTGCTTGCTCAATGAAATCCTGACGCAAACTTCCATGCAGTGGGATGACCAATCTGCCATCCAAGTACATCAGGTCTTCTTTTATGATACAATCTTCTCGTAGCGGTAGCACCTTACGAAGTTTTTTGCAGAAAGAATCCTGAGCGTAACCTTCCTTAATGGCCTCCAGTTCCAAATCTCCTAATCTCGCGCGAACTTCATACGCCGCCAAGTCCTCCCGTCGTGAGAGTGCGTCAGCAACAGAGTTATGTTCTCCTTTGAGGTACTTGAAGTCTAGGTCGAACTGCGACAAAGTTTCCAACCAACGGGCTTGTCGTCGGCTCAGATTACGCTGTGTGAGTAGATTTGTCAATGA